TAATATCAATTTGTTCATTTTTTGTATATATCAAAGTAAAATTTCAAGGAAGAAATTAATTCAAATAGGGAGTTAAAGAAGCAAAAACCAGTAGCCGGAAACGCTTTTGAATATCGAACCGTGTTATTTAATCTCGAGGCCAACGACACCTTATACGTATATATATATATACTTCTCCGTTCCCTTATACTTTTAATAATCTTATACACGAGGCAGAAAATCGTACCTGTGCAATATTTGACATTCCGCAAATTCCAGATTGGATGTTAAAAAAAAATTTCCTGACTATGTATTATTTATCTGTTTGTACTAAATCATATCTAAAGCTTGAAATATTTTTTAAATTACGACACGTCTATAAATGTCTGTGAAAAAAAAATCTTATTTGAGTCATATTTTTTTTAAAAATAATTCTAATTTTTAAAAAATAATTGGAAAAAATTCTATTTTTAAATAGAGAAAATTTATTTTATAATCGTTCTAATAATATAAGAAATTATCTTGATGGGGATAATGATGTAACAGTTTAAATCGTAGAATTTATTAATAGAATTAGAAACAATGGGAATTATTGACAAAATAAGGAGCATAGATTTATATACTTTGAAGTATGGTTATATTCTTAATACTTAAGAGCAGAAAGTGTCTCAATTTCTTCCCGGTACTTTTTTTTATATATCGTTTTATTGATGATTCTCAGTACGTACGTGCCTGCAAAAATCGGTATAAACTTCCTTGTCTTAGAACTTATAGAATAACATTTTAAAGGAACAATAACTTTCCTAGACTCGTTGAGTTAAATGTAAATCCATTCGATTTCCTTTTGACAATTTCTCAATTTTTTGTTTTGTTTGAATATTTGTTTTTGAAAAATTTATTTTCGATTTTCGAAATCTGCAAATATAAAACTAAAAATTTATTAAATTATAATTTTATGAAAAATTTGACTATATTAAAAACTCCGTTTTTGCAACTTGAAAATTTTTTCAATCGGAAAATTATTATTTAATAATAAAATGCTTGGTCTGTCCTTCTGTCCTAACTTGAAGTTGGCCTTTTCTGATTTCACTTGTTTTTTTGAATAGTAATCTTATGACGTGTCAAATTTTGACAATTCTTTTTCTCATTTTTGCCAAAGTTGTATAATTGTGTTTCCAAATTTCGGAATAAATTTCTTTAAAATTCCAAATTCGAAAATTCAATTCACGAAGCTGAAGTACACAACGTTTACCAACGAAATTTTTTTTAAAGTTGTATATTGATTCAATAATTGTATACAAATACAAAAAAAAATTTATGATGAAAAAAAAGATGCGCCAGGAAATTTCGTACAAGATAGTAATTTTAAAAAAAATTTATTTTTAAAAATTTATTTTTAAGGTACCAGAGGCCAACGAATATCTATTAAATATTAATTATAAAAACACAGGCCTCGAATCAACTTAAAGACACAAAAAGTCGTTTTAGTCGATTTATATTCCAAAAAAAAGTGGATTTGTTTTTTATTTTAACAAAAATATTTTACAGATTTTTAAATACATTTTTTTTAATAATAATCCTGTTTGAAGGGTTAAAGATGAAATTTTTAGAAATAATTAAATTTCAAAAGATATTGTTAATTTTCAAACAATTATTAAATTTTACAGAACTAAAAATAATTTATCAAACAATTTTTGGAAAACATTTTTTAATTTTAATTGAATTTTCAAAGATTTAAAATTGAGATTTTTGAAATTAATTGAAACTTTAAGTGTTTTGTAATTAAAATTTTAGATGATTTCACTAAAAATTTATTAGAAAATGCGGACAAAATACAATAATTTGAAAATCATTTTTAATTGAAAAATGGTTTCAGACAGTTGAAATTTCAAAGAATATTATTAAAATAGTTAAAAATAATTGAATTTCCTTAGAGTTATAATTGAAATTATTAAATTTCAAAAAAAAAAAAATTTCGATTGAAAATTTTAGAAATAATTAAATTTTAGATGCATTTAAATTCAAATTATTGAAAATTCAATTAATTTTGAATTCAAATTTTTGAGAATAATGAAATTTTATTTGATTTTAAATTTAGAAAATAATTTAATTTCAGTGTGTTGAATTGAAAATTTTGGGAAATAATTGAATTTTAATTGAAATTTTGGATAATAATTTAATTAAAGTTCATTTTTGATTGAAAATTTGGATAATTAATTTTGAATAGAAATTTTAGAAAATAATTGAATTTTATTTCATTTTAAATTGAAATCTTGGTAAATAATTAAATTTTAAATTAAAAATTTTGGATAATTATTGGATTTTGAATTGATTTTGAATTAAAATTTCGGGTAATAATTGAATTTTAGTTTATTTTGAATTGAAATTTTTAAAAAATAATTCAATTTTATTGTGATATTTTTTTTTAAATTATAAACAATTCTTAAATTTTTATAAAAATTTTAATTTAAAAATAATTTTGATGTAATTGAATTTGTGATGTATTTCATTAAAATTATTAAAAATAATTAATTTAGTGAAGAATCATTTTAGTTGAAAATTTGTTAAATAATTGAATTGAAGAAGATCTGAAGAAGATTTACATTTTATATTAAAAAAATGTATTTTATTTACATTTTTTTTCAAATGTAAAAAAAAATGTCGCATTTTATTAAAATAAGTCGATAAAAGTCGTATTTTTGAAAAAAGTCGGAAAAAGTCGTATAATCCGAGGCCTGTAAACATATAATTTTCATTATTATCATTTAATATGTAATAATATTCTAATAAATTAAATTATTATTGATAATATTAATCTTTAATTTCTTTATAACAAACAATTAAATACTCAATTTGGTGCGCTTGCGCGCGTTTAATTTTGCTAATTTAAAGTCATTTTTTTAGTTGCCAAAAAGGTCAATTCATAAAAATTGTCGAATCGAATAATAATAATAATAATAATAAAAATTGGAAAAATTCTCAAGATTTGAAATTGGTGATTAATTTCTTCTTTTTTTGGTACTTAAGGTACGTAATTTTTAATGTCGAAGATTTCATCAATTGAAAATTTGAAATAATTTTTTAGGAAATATTTAATACGTTTCAAAATTTTGATATCAAAACAAAGTCAAAATTATACAACTTTTCTATTGGACATCACTTTATTCCACCAATTTTCTCTTTTAAATACGATTGAAAAGACTCGTCTGACTCCATCCCCTGCATCTATAAAAAAAATCCTCAAGAAAATAAAAACAAAAAGAGCAAAAAAAAAAAAAAATCACCTTCTCAGGTGGGCAAGGGGAGGGATTGATGCATTCATGTTCCTCCTGGTTTCATCCTTTCTTGTGTGAGTTGTTCCAATCGAAGGGGGGTTTTTTTTTCTGTGTTTGTATATATGTTTGAGGCACATATGTGTGTTCAATCAGTTCACATACACATAGGAGATAATTCCACGAGGTACCTGCGAGTAGGCCGAGCCTGAAACTCAGGTATATACTCTGATGTACATATGTATATAAAATGATCGACTCAGTGGTGGGGTTACGATGTAATGTTGGATGAATGAATGGACTTAAGACAGTCGTAAGAAGGCATTCACGAAACCACTGCTTTTCAAAATCCCTTCTTTCTCTCAAACTCTTTTACGAGTCAACTTTCTTCATTGTTGTTTTTTTCAAATAATCAGTTCGCGGTTTACATATATATATATACAACCCTTTGGTGCTATATACATATGCTGTGAGACATTTTTGTGTGGCAAAAAAAAGTGATTTCAATTTATTTCGAATCTTAAATATTGAATTTCGAATTTTTATTTTGAATTGTGATTAAAAAAGAAAATTGAATTTTTCGAAACGATTGACAATTTTTTTGAAGATTTTAGTGAATTTGAAAATATTTGGTTTGGAAAAAAATTTTGAAAGAAACTGAAAGTGAAAATTATTTCGAAAAATAAAGGGATTTTCGGTGATAAAAAGGGTGAAAGTTGTCTTTTATATTCTTTATATATTCATGTGTCGTCGAGAGACGAAAGAGATGGAAATCTCGAGCCGACGAAGATACCTTTGGCAACCGTGGCTTAATTTTGAGACTCTTCGACCCTCCTATAAGTTGAGAGGTATGTAATAAATGACACGAGACATTTTCATTGTTTCGAAAATTTAGAACGAAAAAAGAAATTAAATTTATATTTTTCATTTCCTAAAATTCAAGCTTTAAAAAATAATTTTTCCAAAATACAAATTTTTTAGGAAAAAAAATTAATTTTTTTTTGATCAAAAATATAAAACACACCTGGTCTGTGGTAATTTACATCTATAATTTTCAAAATATTTTGTTTTTCATCGTATCTTTTTCGCATGTTCGTGTGTATAATCATTTTTTTTTTTCTTTTCAATGAGCCTAAACTCGCTGCGAAACATCCGTTTAAATTAGGGGTGCAGAATCTTTTTTTTTCCTCGGACGGTTAAAACCCTGAAATCTTTAAAAGTCGTGTATATATGCAGAGAGTTAAAAAGTTAATTGAGATTCACATGGGATTCTTCATCTTCCTTTGGTCCATTCATCTTGGAGTCTCTCCTCTCTAAACCTGTTTTCCTTCTTTGACCATCCTCTCACGGCTATTAGGCACTTCCTGTCCCGTCCTGAGAACGGCGGGAACTGGACGTGTTTCTACCCCCGGCAAGAGAATCTCTCCAGATCGATAGATTGGATTCCAATTTTAGACCCAATCATGAAAATAACTCATCCATCTTCCACGGGAAATGCTCCTGTATATGTTTTTTTTCAATATTTTTGTTAATTAAATAATTTTTATGAAAAAAAAAAAAAAAATAGAAAATAATACACACATGCTTTAAATTTCAGAATAATATTGTTAAACGAAATAAAATATGATTGAAGCAGTCAAAGTGTTTAACGGAAGCGGACTCTTTCTCTTTTTTTTCTGCTTTCCGGTTTATCTGTCTATTCAGGTGTTGATAAATTAATGTAAACTCATATTTCATGCTTTATTACAGAGGAAAGACCGAAGACAACAAGCTTACACCGGAAGCCAAGTAGTGCCTGGAGGAAGGAACGTAGACGAGACCCAATTCAATGTGAGGCCCTTGACATGTCTGCTGCCAGGGTGCATCACAGTAGACCCAGTGTCATCGTACCCACGGCCCCTCAACCAGGTAAATTTACCAAAAAAAAAAAAAAAAAAATTGCAAACGAGAAATTCTTTTTTTTAAATTGTTTGCTGTCTCAATAAAATCAAAAAAGAAAAAATTAAAAAACTATCGCAACCTTGAAACATAGATGATCAAATGACATGCAAGAAAATCAATGTAAACTTTTTCTACAAAGTAAATTCTCGCAAAGTCAATTAATCAAACACCTTATCTTGAAAGTTAATCTTTTTTTTTAAATACATGACCCTTTTTTTAAATACTAGGCACAACCATGGAAGACACGGCTGTTACGCCCACGGCAAGCGTAACACCATCTGCTGCTACCAGAGGCCAGAGAACTGGAATCAGAAATACTGGAATTGTAAGTGATCCAGCGATAGACGAGCACTTTAAACGATCATTGGGTCTGAAAGAATATGCCGCTGTTTTTAATGCAACCTCTAATGATAAGGAAGCCGGTCTCAGTGGTGAGTAATTATTATTTTCACGCTAAAATTACCTGTAGAAATTTTCTTCCATCAATTCAAATTTAAATTGAACTTCCTTTTTTTCATTTGGTTTCGAATTAAATTCAAATTAGAGGTCCTTTTCGTGAATTTAATTTCAGTAATTTTCTTTTTTTTTTCTCAACAGTTGACGATCATTTTGCCAAAGCCCTCGGCGAAACCTGGACAAGGTTGCAAAAAACAGGTCGAAATAAGGATTCGTCTTAACCTCGAATCAATATCATCATCACCATTATTATCATCATCATCTTGGATTCATCTCGTTTGTTTATTTGAGATCAACGGATATGGCTGTTGGACTACAATATAATATTAATTAATATAAGTTATTATATTCAGGGAAAGAAAATGTATTTGAATGATTAAGAGGGATAATTCTTGATAAAGAAAAAGATTTATCTTATAAATATTGTATAAAGATAATTTTTTGATTCCGAAGCAAGACGCGCTTCCGGCAAACAAAACAAATTCTAAACTTACAAATAGAAGTGATTTATAGTTTGCAATAGTAAAGGATTATTATACCTTAATTATCTGATGAATTATCTACTTCCATGGTAGAATAGTGATGCTGTGAGGCACACTAAGGCTGTTTTGATTCAGGCGAGAGCCAAGAATCTCGAAAAATGAATTTTGTAAATAGACGCTTTTCGTCAATACCGTAGTCCAGAAATGTAGGCAGTTATTTATTACTCTTTTTTTTCTAAGTAAAAATTTGCAAATTTACAAATATGTTTGTAAATTTGCAATTTTATATTATTATTTAGATTATAAAGATATTATATATATACATGTTGTAATTATTTACGCGAAGAGTCTATGTTATTATTGTTAGGATATGTTGTAATTTACTTGATTGTGTGAATAAGTCTATACGTATTAAAATACGGATTATTATATATATAAATATATATTATATACAAATGATTCCTACCAATTTTGTGACATATTCACAAAAAAGAAAAAATCAAGACTGGAGTAACAACTAAATATTGAAATGAAAATCATTAAAGAATCGACTCTAAAAAAAAACGATGTTTTCTTTTTTCACGATCCTGTAGATAAATATTGTTTTTTTTTTCTCAAAGGTCTGTTGAATGATAAGAGGAGTAGTACTGATTTCAAATGGTGCTAGGAAATTTATTTCGAACCCAGCACACACAGAAGTCAGTACCTCTACCTTCTTAATGTCACTCTCGAAATGGCTGAAATAAATTTTTATTTTAGATTTCGATATTTTAAAAAAACAAATCTTAAGAATTTATTTTATTGAATAATTTGAATTTTGATTATATGATTTATTTTATATTGAATATTTGAATTTAATTATATTATCACTGAATTTATATTAATTTTCAGATTTTATAAGAGGGTGAAAGAAACTTCAACTTTTGATCGTCCTTCGATGATAAATTATTTTATTACCTGATGCCTTCCTTTCGCCAGCGTCTTGGGCAATCGACGATATCAGTTTTCATATTGAGACCGGACTCACATCTTTTTAAAATACAAAAGCAATGGTTGGATGCTGGCAGCAACACATTTTATATTCCTCCGTTACTGATGATGACAATGATGAAAAAAAAGCACCGAATTAGATGAATTTGAAATTCTTTAGCAAAATTTTCTTTACAATGATAATATGAGTCGAAAAATTTTATTATTGAAGCAAGAAAAGAAAAAAAAATTACAGAAGGTAAAGAAATTTAATTAATGAACGAAAATTTAATTGAATAATTGACAAATGTCAGTAAAATTAAGTAAACATTTTACATTTAAATTCTTATTATTATATTAAAATTAATTAGTTTAATTTAATTCTTGTTTTTTAACTTTAAATGTTTTGTTTACTATGAAAAATTAGATACTTTTTATAAGAAAAAATGGTGAATTTTTTTGAAATCTTACCTTTTTTCTGTTTTGATTTTTCCATAAATATCGATGATCACTATTTTTCCATGCGATTGATTTTTGACAGATGATGAAATTGAATGAATGACAGATGTGAATGAACACCTTTTTAATAAAAAAAGAAGAATATTTTTTGTTTTTCCTTCTCTCGATTATATAAGTAAAAAATAGGGGGAAAAAAAAGAAGAATTATTCGCACGTGCAGCCAAAGAAGCAGGTTGTTTGTTTGAAGACAGTTAATAAAGTTATTGTATAGTAGGTGGGCCCAGCGCGAAGAGGCCAGACTGTCCCAGCAGGCGCTCGGATGGCTTCCTATATGCAGGCAGTCTGTTCACTTGCCGTAAAGCAAAATGGTAACTTAATATTAGACTTGAATATAAGTACGGTAATTCCACACCATCGTCTAAAGTAAGCCTACACCAACCCCCCATTCAGAGTGTGGATCCCCACCCACCCTTCCCTTCTTTCCTTCTTTAAACGCCCTCGAGCGTGATAATGCAATGGTCACTAGATATCTTCTAGGTGCGAATTGCAACCACCTTCTCTATATGTTTTTTTTTCTTCTTCTTTTTATTGGTTTTGAAATCGCATAAAGATGCATCCCTTTATATATTGCGACCTTGTTGGATTATTTTTCCTTTTGTCTCATCATCTTGTAAAATTTTTTATATAATACGCTTTGTTGCATTCGCTTTTTCTTTGTTTATTATATATATTCGTTTTTAATAATCCTCTTTTGTGCGCATTTAGAAAAAATAATTTTATTTTTACTTCTTCCGGGTGCTGATGATTTTTATTCTTTTGTTTCACTTAATAATGAAATAATAGTAATAAAAATATAAATAATAGTAATTAATAAAATAAAAATTATTTCATTTAAATAGAAATCTTGGTTGAAGTGAATATTAATTTAATAATTTCAAATAATTGATTATTTGCAATTTTTTTAGGACTGTTTTTTATTTTTTTTTTATAAAAGAAAAATTTTTTCTCCGCAAGGGAAAGAATTTTCTTTTTCTTGTATTGTAAATAAAAAATTTTCTTTTTTTTCCACAGGTCATTGAAATGCAGTCATTGGTTGATTACGGATAAATTGTCGTTGTATTGACAGAAAAATGACAGTACTGTTTATTTATTATAAATCTCAGGCGTATCTTGTTTCGGAATCAGACCCAGGTGACCACAAGTTGGCATCGTTTTCAAGTTTTATTTTCTAACGTTACGGACTTATGCTTACGTGGACATTCATATATATATAAATTTATATATATAACAAGTAAGGAAAATATATTTTTTTTTATTCTTTTATTGAAAAGAAAATTTTGAAATTTTTTATTTGGCAAAAGCGTCGCGACGCTATAAAAGTTACGCTCATAGCCTTGCATCGAAATCCCTTGATCGTCGTCCCCTCTAAACAAGTATACTATATGTATACGCACGATATCCACACACACAACCCATGAAAAATTAACGACGCGTTCAAATCTCCGTCTTTCAGTGAACAGATGTTCATATAATAATAATTATTGTTAATATAAAAATTCACGTCACCATTTTCCAGGAATTATTGAATATAATCACGAATTTACATTTTTGATAAATTAGTATATAAATGCAAATAATAAATGTACAGATATAATTTCAATTTTATGAGTGAGCTTTTTGAAAAAAAAAAATTTTATTGCTTTTAATAATAACAAAAATTCATTTTACAAGGACTTGAAATTTTTTGTAGTTGTCAATCCGGTTCGACAGTTTTTTGGAGCACGATACATTTCCAAAAACGGAATCGAATGAAATGACTTCTTGGTATAAACGATAAAATATTACAAATCACTTTAACATTAAAATTTTAATTGAACTTATTTTTTATAGGCAAAAGTAATCATTAGTTACAAAAATAATAATAATTCTTTTTAAAAACTTTTTTTAAAAAAAACAATACTTAAAACAATTAAATATTAAAGACTAATTGATTATTATTGATGCATGACAAAAAATATTGAACTCTTTTATTGGAATTAATTGAGATATACATGCACAATATCGTTGTTTATTTTATTTGCATGGTTTATTTTTGTAAAAAAAGAAAAGGAAATAAGCATTGTTTATTTTTTTTTTTGTGACCTCATTTTGCTTAAACCATGTAAATATTGAGTTATATAAAAATCGAACTTAAACGCCAACGACACAACAATTTCATGCACAATCATCAGCACCATATGTAATTATTATACTGGAAAATGTGGACGTATCTCATGCGTGAATTTTTAATCGTTGGTGAATTCTTAATTTTTTTTTTCAATTTTTTTTTTTTTTAATTAACTAAAAGAATTGAAAAATATTTTTTCAATATTCTGAACATTCGGACAAATTTTTATTTTATTTAATTTTTGCTTTCTCTGACAACTAGTAAAAATAAAAAAAAGGTAAAATTATTTAAATCAAAAGTACTGGATGATGTAATTAACAAATAAATATTTATTGAATCAAATGTTTATATTTGGATCTAATGAATATTTATTTGACCCAAATAAATATTTATCAAATCATAATTACAATTATTACTAAATTTGATTTGAAAAATATTTATTTTATTCAATATTTTGCTTGGATAAAAAAATAATTCATTTGGATTCAATTAATATGGAATAGAATAAAATTAATTTGATAAATAGTGAGAAAATTTTATTTGTTAATAACAAATCCGGTTTTTGAATCAAATAATTTTCTTTTCACTGAAAATATTTAAATTATAAACGTTTCGAATTTGAACTCATTTAAAAAAAAACGAATTTCAATAAACCCTGTAAAATTTTTTCAAAGAACTCCTCACCTTCAATTCTTCACAAATATTATTTCCTGACACTAAAAATGTCTAATAACAAATTACGATTTTTTTTTTAAATTAAATTTCAAACAAACAGTTAAAATTATTTTCGAAAAAAAAAGAAATTAAATTTCAGAAAACAATGGTTATTTAAATAACAGCGCACAATTTTACGTCTCGTATCCATTCGCGTGTTGATTCATTCACGAATCGGATTTCGCGGCGCGAAGATAAGGGTTGATTTGAATAGTCTTGTACAACGGGTTGCCTATATATGTGCAATATTAAATGATAATCTCGATTATACAAACACTGTGATTAACATTGTATAATAATGTTAATTGAACATGTTTTACATGATTCGCGACGAATTTTGTATATTTATGCTTCAAGTTTTTAACAGTATGGAACTAGGGACACGACTGATCGAGTGACCGAGGGGGTTAGCATTGTAGGAATACCCCTCCTTGTGCGCTTGTATATAGAATTACGCAGGACAACACATGTGTGTTGCTCGATGGTGCACATAGTCTTTTCTCTTTCTCTCTCTTTCTTTCAAACATATATATATATATATATATATATATACGTGCCCAGTTTTAGTCTTCCCTCTTTTTACACTAAGAGAGAACCCATGGGGTATTGGGGCATGGAACTGGGGAGAAATAACCCCCTTCCCTCATTTCTCTTTCCCCTAAAGTTCTCCCACCTTCCCCCCTTCATTCGCGTGTGTGAATCATGCATATCGATTTTCTTTCGTTACTTCATCGTTGTTTTGAATGTACGTATTGCGTGCTCTCTTACGTTTTTCGTATATACATATATATAGATTGCATTCATATGGTTGACGCCATTCGTTTTTGTACGCGCATGGGGATTCTTTTATTTTTCAAGGGAAGGGAATATTAGGTCTTGAAAAATTACTCACTAAATGCCCAGATAATTTTCTTCAACTCCAGAGTTAATTTATTCAATTAGAAATGCCTTTATTTTCTATATATAGGAGTTTTTTTTTTTCCTTTCTTAATTTCTTTGAAAACAAAACATTTTTTTTTTTTTTGTAAATTTAGAAAATATTCAAATTATATAATAATAAAATGCTTAGTCTGTCCTTCTGTCCTAACTTGAAGTTGGCCTTTTCTGATTTCATGTGTTTTTTTGAATAGTAATCTTATGACGTGTCAAATTTTGACAATTATTATTTTTCTCATTTTTGCCAAAGTTGAATTCCAAATTTCGGAATAAGTTTCTTTAAAATTCCAAATTCGAAAATTCAATTCACGAAGCTGAAGTACACAACGTTTACCAACGAAATTTTTTTTAAAGTTGTATATTGATTCAAAAATTGTATACAAATACAAAAAAAAATTTATGATGAGAAAAAAGATGCGCCAGGAAATTTCGTACAAGATAGTAATTTAAAAAAAATTTATTTTTAAAAATTAATTTTTAAGGTACCAGGGGTCAACGAATACCTATTAAATATTAATTATAAAAACATAGGCCTCGAATCAACTTAAAGACACAAAAAGTCGTTTTAGTCGATTTATATTCCAAAAAAAAGTGGATTTGTTTTTTATTTTAACAAAAATATTTTACAGATTTTTAAATACATTTTTTTTTTAATAATAATCCTTTTCGAAGGGTTAAGGTTGAAATTTTTAGAAATAATTAAATTTCAAAAGATATTGTTAATTTTCAAACAATTATTAAACTTTACAGAACTAAAAATAATTTATCAAACAATTTTTGGAAAACATTTTTTAAATTTAATTGAATTTTCAAAGATTTAAAATTGAGATTTTTGAAATTAATTCAAACTTTAAGTGTTTTGAAATTAAAATTTTAGATGATTTCACTAAAAATTTATTAGAAAATGCGGACAAAATACAATAATTTGAAAATTATTTTTAATTGAAAAATGGTTTCAGATAGTTAAAATTTCAAAGAATATTATTAAAATAGTTAAAAATAATTGAATTTCCTTTGAGTTATAATTGAAATTATTAAATTTCAAAAAAAAAAAATTTCAATGGACAATTTTAGAAATAATTAAATTTTAGATGCTTTTAAATTTAAATTATTGAAAATTCAATTAATTTTGAATTCAAATTTTTGAGAATAATAAAATTTTATTTGATTTTAAATTTGGAAAATAATTGAATTTCAGTTCATTTTGAATTGAAAATTTTTGGAAATAATTGAATTTTAATTGAAATTTTGGATAATAATTTTATTTAAGTTCATTTTTGATTGAAAATTGGGATAATTAATTTTGAATAGAAATTTTAGAAAATAATTGAATTTTATTTCATTTTAAATTGAAAACTTGGTAAATAATTAAATTTTAAATTGAAAATTTTGGATAATTATTGGATTTTTAATTGATTTTGAATTAAAATTTCGGGTAATAATTGAATTTTAGTTTATTTTGAATTGAAATTTAAAAAAATAATTCAATTTTATTGCGATATTTGTTTTTTAAATTATAAACAATTGTTAAATTTCATAAAAATTTTGAATTGAAAAATAATTTTGATATAATTGAATTTGTGATGTATTTCATTAAAATTATTAAAAATAATTAATTTAGTGAAGAATCATTGTAGTTGAAAATTTGTTAAATAATTGAATTGAAGAAGATCTGAAGAAGATCCACATTTTATAATAAAAAAATGTATTTTATTTACATTTTTTTTCAAATGTAAAAAAAATGTCACATTTTATTAAAATAAGTCGATAAAAGTCGTTTTTTTGAAAAAAGTCGGAAAAAGTCGTATAATCCGAGGCCTGTAAACATATAATTTTCATTATTATCATTTAATATGTGATAATATTCTAATAAATTAAATTATTATTAATAATATTAATCTTTAATTTCTTTATAACAAATAATTAAATACTCAATTTGGCGCGTTTGCGCGCGTTTAATTTTGCTAGTTATTAATAATATCAAATATATAAATATTAAAATTATTGGAAATTGTTATTCGACTTTACGATGTTCTGATGTATTATTATTATTATTATTATTATTATTATTATTATTATTATTAAGAAAATTATCGATTAATATTTTCTGAATACAAATTTTAAGAATTTAATAAAGTGAAAAATTCATCGATTTCAATCCCTATAGGAAAATTATAAAAATTCCGGAAATTCAGCAGCGCAAAATTTCATCTGCTCACCGGAAACTTAAACTCCTTCCCATGGTTTAAGGAGACCGGAAATTGAGCGGTTGTATCGAATGTGAATGGGGGGGTGACTCAAGAAATCGATTTTTATCCCCTTGAAAATTTTTAAATTTTGTCGATTCATTGCCGGAAAAATTCACATTAAAAAAAAAAAAAATTTGTTTCTTTATTTTTTTATTATTAATATTTGATAAATTAATTATTTTTTTTTTTTTGCATAATAATAAAACAGGGGTTCCGGTGTATCAGTTTGAAATTTAGAGACTTGAACTTTCACGTTGCTGTATGCACTTCAGACAAATTGGCCATCTGCACACGCTCGTCTAATTATTTTTCTTCTCCGTTCAATATTTTCTATGGAAATATTTTTTTTCATTTTTTGTTATGTAATTTAGTTTTCTTGAATTTTTTAAAAATAATTTTTTTTTTCCGAAAAATTGTTATAAAGTAAAAATATTTTTATAATTAATTTTTTGAAAATATACATTTTTTAATGAAAAAAAAAAAAAAATATTATCTGACACTTGCTTTTTATTATGCAAAAAAAAAAAAAAAAAACACCGGAGCAAGCTTATCAAATTTCACAAACGTTCTGATCTGAGAATGATTCTCTTAGCGAGTTAATTTTGGGCTTAATGATATTAAATTTCGAGAAAAATTTGCTTGTAGATTTTTTTTTTGCAAAATCTGTGCTGTATATAGAAAATGCTTCTCTCTACAATTCCTTCGTTTTTAGAAAGAGCTATACATAAGGGCAGAAAGCAGTGCCCAATTCTTTTTTGCACAATAGCTCTATGCCTCCCCTACTTGGACCCGTTCTTCACGTTTTTTTTTTCACCGTCCTTTTCTAATAACCGTTCTATTGAATCGTCACCTCTTGCTCCCACGTATACATGTATACAACACGAGTAAAATGTGTCCCCATGTATATGGTGCAAGTGATGGTGCTTAGTACAGCCCCTCAATCCACCCCGTAATAAACTTCTTTTGTCTTTGGCCACCCTCCCTATCACTTCTCGCTTTTTTTTTCTTTCTTTCATTCCCTTGTCCTTGTCTTTTCGAAATACAGAATCGCGTATATATATATATAAACTTTTTCAAAGCTGCCCGCGCGCCAACTTTTTAGGGGTTGTTTCTTTGAAGATTTATCAATAAAACACTCTTCAATCTAAAAAAACGCGCCACTGTAGGACTTGGTATTCAAATAGAAAATCTTGATTTAGAAACAAAAAATTTAATTTTTTATTCTAAAATTTTTATCTCTAAAAACTTATTCTCGTAATAAGAATTCTGAATAAAATAAAAACAAAAATGATTTATAAATGAAAAAAATTAAATTAGGTAAAATATTAATTAAAATTCATATTTTATAATATAAAGAGATCTTTAATCTGCAAAGTTGTTAAATGTCGCCTATGAATAATTACAATAGAAACAAATGTATATACAGAGGTACGACATTGATGTACATATTTATATATATATGTGTATAATTTTCTATAGTACGCTTGCGAATAATTTATCGTGCTAAACAAAAGATTCTTTATTACCTATCTAATATCATTTTAGAATAGAATTTCATCTTCTTTTTCTTTTTTTTTAAGAGAAAATTATATTCAATTAAAAAATAAAATTATCCTCTCTATTCACATCGAATTTTGTCTATTGAAAAAAAATTCTATGAAAAATTGTTTTTAAATCTAAAAATGCAAATGGAATGATTGCTATTTTTGTGTGATTGATAAAAGAATCATCAGTGGTTCCTTATCATAGATAATAAAAATAAAATTTTTTTCTTTAAATTATTTTAAAAAAATAAAGAAAACAATATAAATAGGCAAATTTCTTTAAGTCTTCGAGTTTATGACAAATCTTTTTTTTTTATTTGTTCCTCTATAGTTTTTAGTCCCAATACCATATTTGAGAATAACAACACATTAAAATATAATATTAAAATATTATATTTAATTATATCAATAAAAATCTTGTAACTCAAAGGCACGCGATGAATAAAAGAAAAAATTGAAATATTTTAAAAAAACATTTTTAAATAATAAAAATAATTTCTTATATTCGAAAATTTAACTTACAATTATTAGAAATAAATCTGGCATTTTTTAAATCGTATATATTTATGTATAAAGTGTGACGTAGTTTCAAATTGACTTTGGAGCTATCACGCAAGAAAATGTTTCACGTTAAATTTCTTAGCTCTAAATATCCATTTGGCAAATAATCACATATTAGCAATTTATTTTTTTTTTTCTATATTCAAAATAAAATAATATATGTTTAAAAACACGATTGCTAAATAATTTTTAGTTTCGTCAAGACTTGGCCTGAGTTTTGTTCTTAATATGTGGCGAGTATAATTTTCTAATAATTGAAACGAAATCTCTTTTTGGGAATAGAGTTTCAATAATCCCTTCTAATAGTACATATAGCAGTCTTCTATTCAACACAGGTCGCTGAAAGAGTTCAAAAACTCGCAATAATCCACATCTTGTAGTCTCGCTGCCTATGATATGTTTAAGATCATCAGAAAAACAAGCGAGAAGCGCAACTTTCGCGTCTATTCGCGTTCTGCTTTTCATCTCTGGTGTCCGATGAGGTTTAGGTCCAGCCTTTACGCCATTAGGCCAAAAACTATTTCTAAAATAAATTTTATAATTTTAACAAATATTATATAAAAGATCTTTTTTTTTTTAGAAATATTTTTGTTTTTAATTAATTAACTTACTTGAATATATTCAAGTACTTTGCAACATTTTTCGGACTCGTTTGCTCTGAAACATATTCTATAATTCTTCTATTTACAATATCACCAAACATTGTTCGAATAATTTGTCTTAATAAAGTAACAATTCTTCGTCTTAGCCATTGATTTCTGACTTTTAAGTCGAAAATTTCGTCCATTAGAAGAAGAATTATTCGCAGGGGAATATTATCGTCGGTCTGAAAAATAGGATTTTTATTTTTTTTTTTGTTTTTACGACAGAGAAAAATTAATTTTTTATCGAATAGAAAATAATTACCTCTGTATCTAAACTTGCTCCGACTTTTACACTTTCATAAATTATATCGTGTTTTTTTGCACTTCCAAATAATTTGTCCATAACACCGTCCACTGTATTTATCATATTATCGGGCATTGTTTTAACCGCCTGCGTTACCGTCTTCATTGATGATTTCAAAGGATTCACCAAAGTGTCAATCTGAAATTAACAATTTAAAAAATAAATTAATTTAAAAAAAAAATTATTGAAAATAAAAATTTTAGTTTTGATAAATGTAAAAAAAAATTTTGTTTGGAGCAAAGAAATAATTACCGTTCGCGAAATATGTCCACCAGTGACGCCCTTATCGTAATCGCCCTGTTCCAAAAAAGCAAGAAGCAAATTTTGCAATCCCATGTGGCCATCGGCGATATTTGGTTTCGTTAATTGATTTAACCAGGCATTTAACATGACCATTCGTTTTTCAAGTACAGATCGTTCCATATTGTGAAATGCCTTTTTCCCGGGAAATGGAATTTTCGCTAAATCAAAATATTTTTCCTTTACACGTTGATAGAGATCGTGAAAATCGGAATATCGTCGATAAATATGCCACTTTTCCTGATAACCCGTTTCAAAAGTCTTTGTCACTGCCACCGCATAAATACCATAAGTTTTTCCTTTATCGCTGACAATGCCAGTTTCAATAATTATCGCCGTAATTCTAAAACGACCTTGTTGTAATTTTTTAATAACATTTGGATCTTGAAGACTTTCGTCAAGTGGAAAAATATTTTCCGAATTTGATTCAAAATATGCCGTTGCTTCTTTTCCCTCAGTGACTTTTTCTGCATCAATAGTTGGTTTGGATAATTTTTTAAATTCCTTTAAACTCCCTCGATCACCTTCTAATTCGTCCAACGATCTAAAATCACTTCCCACACGACTACCCGACGATGAACTTGAATTTGATTGAGTCTCAGCTTTTTGACTTTCCAACCATGAAGCCTGTTCCAATTCCGTTTCATTATTTATACTCGATACACTAATACTATCCAATGATTTTGAATCATCCTCAGAAGTTGAATCTTTCAATAAATCCAATTCCGCCAAAAGTTTTAAATACGAAGCTGATCTTTTGAAAGCTGGTAAAAATTTCTCGTCATTCTTTAATTTTTCATAGCAACAAATTTGTAGCTCGTCAAACCATGTTTCTTTAATTGATTCATTTTTTATTCTCATTAAAAGATTTTTAACCAATATGTCGTCTAATTGTAATTTAATATTTGCTTTATCGGTCAAATATTGTTGATAAATTTTTACAGCAGCTTCTTTTAAATTTCCCAAATCAGAATGTCGACGTTTCACTTCTTTTGTTGTTGTTGTTGTTGTTGTTGACGAATGTTGTCGACGTATTTTTTCCAATTCAATTTCTGATATTTGCTGCTCGGCAGACACTCGCCAACCATAAATATTTAAATAAAAATAAAGATAAGCTTCAGCGTTGATACTCGTCATAAAATCAATAAAATAACTCAAGGCAATATTGTTTCTTAATAATTCATCGAGAGGTAAATGAATTAATTTATGACCTGGCACTAAAAATCTATTCCACTCGGGACACTGTTCAGAGGAATCGTTTTCGGTTTTTAAACCCTCTTGCATACCAATTATTCGTGTGTCGAGAATTTTTTTCATATAAAGAAGACTATTTAATTCCTGTTTTATTGAAACGTCATCTTCACCTCCAATCTCTTTGGATCTTATATAGGCTAATCTTCTGTTAACTATATTTTTTGTCGCTATTAATTCTTCTAGATTGTCTGTTATTCTAATAACTGTTAAGAAAACATCACTCGGCAAGTTATTTTCTTTAGAGCACTGAAAGAAAAAAGAAACATAAATATGAAAATTTGAAATTTAATTTAAAAAAAAAAAAAAACTTACCAGCCATATAAAAGTTTGATTAATGTAATCAGGATCCGAAAGTAGATTCAATAGGGGCCTAATTATGACATTAACGAATAAATCCCTTAAGAAATATCTTAATGGTATACAATCGAAATCTTCTTTTGGGAGAACTAAATATAAAATAACTTCTGAAATTTCTGTCAGGAATGTCCTCTCCGCGGCTTCATTTGTACAAACTAAATTCCTGCACAAAAAATTCTTTTCCATTTGAACTTCTAAGTCGAAAAAAATATTTTCCAAAGAATCAGGATTATTCTTCGTTTCTTTATTTTCCTTCGGCTCTGTTAGAGATGTTAAATTTGGTGTATAAAATTTTGACTGAGAATACCATGATATATCCGTATCGCTCATATTTCTACGATGAGTAGTAACACGTTTTGGCGTACCGCCTGAAGTACTCGAACTATTCGGTTTTGAAATTTTATTTAATTGAATCTGTTTCATTTTTGCTCGAGCCTGTTGATATAATCTCATATGTGACGCTGCATCATCTACAAGACGCGTTGTTAAGTAGGGAATCCAATCTACTTCTTTTACTCTGTAAATAATAAATTTTTTTTTTTTAATTTATTTGGAAACAAATTTTTTATTTGAATGATATTTCATTAAGAATTTAATTGGAAATAATTTATATTAATAATAAAAATTAGAATTCATTTTGAGATTTTTTAAATAAATATTATTTTTTCGATGTTTGATTTTGATTTTTTTTTAATTTGAAAAATAAATTAACATACCTATTGGATACGTTTATCATAATTTTTCGAGCAGTATCTCTAACCGAGAGGAGGAATTCTCGGTCATTAGTAAAATTACTATACCATGATTCAACGTAATCTCTTAAGACGAAGTCTAAAATTTCCTGTAAAATCGAAAATTACTGTTATAATGAGAAAAAAATTATTTTTTAAGAAAATAAAATTTTTTTCTTACTTGTAGAGATTCATCAATAATTCTACTACCCGTAATTCTTCGATCTTGACTAAATATCATCTTTTCCTTCGACTCTTTGGATATCTCTTCCAAACGCTAGAACATTTAATTAAAAAAAAAATATTTTTACTATACTTTTTCCTTTTTTTTTTCAATTGAAAAAAATGAAAATTCTTTTTACCTCCCATAATCTTTTACTTGATTCGGAGATGTCTTCTCTTGAAAATGTAACTGCATTTTGAAAAGATGAAGGAATTTGTTTATAAATATAAACTATTGTCCTGAAAAATGCAATTTAAATATTATAGATAAATTAATTTTATTAATTAATTAATAATTAAATTATAATTAAAATTATTAGGCATTTAAATTAAGTAAAAATAATTTAATTTTAATACAAACTATACAATATTAAATATTTGTGGTATTTGAAAAAAATTTTCAAATATTTAATGAATAATTTGAAATACTTACCCTAGAATAAATAGAAATATGCAAATTAAAAATTGTAGAACTGTTCCAAAGTCAAACAAGGCAACAATCAGAATTATAATTGCTCCCGTTCCATACAAAGGAACGTTCATCTGTAAAAAAAAAAAATACAATCTTTGTAGTGATAAATTAATATTAACATTACATACGTAATACACTCAAGACGTAATGTAATACACAAGTTATTTTTATATTCATCGACTAATATATCACGCTCTTCTTTTAGTCATATTACACGCGGACACAATCTGAGATAAATTGTTTGCAATTTTATGGAAATATGAACAAATCACGTAATTTCAAAATTTATTTCAATAAATTAAATTTTATTTAATACAAAACAAAAAAATATATATAAAATTATGAAAAAAGTTGAGATATAGGAATAAAAATTTAATTTTTTAAACGAATATTAAAAATCCGTTTATAAAAAAAAAATTACCTTAATGAATTTTAAAATTAAAAAAATAATTTTTGTCATTAACACCTTGAGATTTATTAAATGCTAGTGTCAAATAAAAAAAAAAGGAATGCAAAATAGATAAAGGATAACATGTAGTCGATTGGAAACAATGGTAATTGTTACTGTTAAACAATAGACGAATATTGGTAGGGAGAAAAAAAAACAATAATAATACGTCATATAGTGCATGCGTGTCCAGATTTCAGAATGAAATTCCTCTCGTACGTCAAAAAGTCGTTTTACTATATTGCTTCAGGATTTTGTGAAGGAAAAAAATTTTTTTTTTAAAAACTTCCAAATTTACACTCACCTTTGGGCTTTTGGAAAACGAAGCACTTGGAGAATTACACGCATATTGCGTGTATTATTAAATAGTTACTCGTGTAGTCAACTGATTAAAAGTTTATTTACATTTTTGCACGAGTCGTGAAAAAAAACACTGGTCGACATTTTACCATAATACAATCGACTGAAACCAGAGGCCGCTTTTCATATTCTGTGCTATTATTTCCAATATTTCCATAATCATTTCTTTCTTTTTTTTTTTGTCGATTTTCAATTTATCACGTGCCACATTCGTCATCAGGAATACGTAAACATTTTTTTTTTTTTCACCTAGACCTCAATATCAACTGACTAATCCAAAGTCTAAGTTGATTACATATGACATTTAATTACAGGTCTCCTTATTTTCCATCGATTAGGTCGATGAACATGATTCCTAGTTTATTAACTGACGATGTTTTTTTAAAATAATTTTTTGAAAATTTAATCTATTTTTGCGATTTTTGATTAATTTTTAAGGTTTTTATTGTATTAATTTTATATTCATTATAAATTATGAAGAATAATCAATTTTTATAAAATACATGAAAGTATTCAGAATAATCATTCTAAAGGGGCATGTACAAAGTTTATTTTTGTAATTTACACTAATTTGCAAAAATTGTTAAATTTTGATAAAATTGAAAAACAATTGAAAAACTTTGCTTATTTGAATTTTTTAAATACCACAATATATATTGTATAGTACGCTTGCGCATCACTTGGGATATTTGAAATTTTATTTTCTAAATCGCAGTTCTTTCTCATCCCTTACTTGAATCAGTTCACATTTTTTTTTTTTTTGAATAAAAACTAAATATTTATCAGATATGTTGAAAATTATCTGTAATAGAAATTTTTATTACTTTGTAATTTGTTTCAATATTGAATTATACGAAAGGAGAAGATTTTGAATTATCATTATAAAAAGAAAATGAAATTGTGTGATTCTGGTGGATTTTCGGTTTCGTCATTTATTTATATTTCATGATAAACAAATTGGAAATGGCGAAATTTTTAGCAACAATAAAAGCGATAATTACGCGATTAGTTTTTGCTTCTCATGGTTTTATTGCGATTTGGCAAGTTACAAACTTTAAATCAAATCCAACTTATTGGTATCTTTGTTGTCCAATTTTACTCTTGTTTTTTGAGGGAATTTTTACACTCACTATAAAAGAAAATCAGGAATGGAAATGGTAAGAATTAATCATATTATAGTTTTTGGTTTAATTTTTTAATTTATTAATTATTTAATTCCAAAAGTAATTTTTGCATTTTTTTTTTTTTTGTTTGTAAAATATATTTTCGTACGTATAAAAATATAAATTGAAGCACGTGCGATATATTTTTATTTTCCTAATTAACAAAAAAGTAAAAAATGTAGGTCAAGTGCAATTTTATTTAATAAATCTAAATTTTATGGAAATTCATGTGAGATTTGATATAATAAGGTAATTTTCCGCTCGAAAAAGTTAACAATATGAAAAAAAAAAAAAAATTGGCTTTCAAGGAGTACCTCTATTTTTGGGGTGTGTTTTGAACGATCAACTCAGTTTGACAGACGGAAATTGTACATTAGTAACTATCACATGAGAATAGTCTGGAGAAATCGGGTCAAAAAATATTGACTTCCTGTGTGAAAGAAGGGTTCGATCTTGATATATATAAAAAAAAGATAGATATTAGGGACATCTAGTATTCGTTAAAGTGCATTTTAAAATTAAAAAACAAAATATTATTTTTTAATCTTAAAAAGAGCAAATATTATTAAATTAAAATTTTATTTAATTCGAAATTAATAGATTTTTATTATTTCTCTTAAAGAAATTAAAAAAATTTTCTTAAAGAATAAATAAATTTTTAGAGAAAAGAATTTTATTTAATTTAATTCAATTTTTTTTTTACAGGTTTTGTCCATCAGTATTTCTTTATTTGGGAAGTGTGGTGCCGGCAATTTGGCTTTTGGAATTGGATAAAGTTGAAAAAAGAATTCATATGCGAGGATCAAATATTAATATTTCTGAGAGTTTAGATTTTACGAATTTAGCTGCCTCTGATTTAAAACACCTGGAAAAGGCATTAGGCGTAAGTTATTTCATTTTAATACAGATCCATTTTTTTATCGCCCTATATAAATCAAACTATTATCTTGATTATTTTTTAATTCAATTGAAAGGTTGAGATTTTTAAGGGAGGATATAAAATTTTTTTTTACGAGTAATCAAATTAATACTTATTGTTTTTTAATATTATTAAAAAAAATTTCTTTTAAATCAATAATAAATATTTATTTGGAATAATTACAGGTGAACATAAAATTGCCAACAATTCAAATATCAACAGAGACTTGGGTGACTTTGATCGAACAATTTTTAATGTTAATTTTAATAATTGGCCGATGGATGCTGCCAAAGGGTGATTTAACAAGAGATCAATTGAGTCAACTTCTTTTGGTGTACATTGGCACTGCTGCCGATATTATTGAATTTTTTGACTCGTTTAAAGAAGATAAAATAGCAAGAGAGCCAGTTTTAGTTTATTTAACATTGGGCATTTGGTCATGGTCATTGATGCAATTTACTGTTGTTTTAACAGCAACAAAATCGAGAAAATCAAGACTCTCATCTGGAAGTGCCATTAAGAAAAAAGTGCCAACTGAAACAAGTTGCTGTAGCATTGATGTTTGGGGAATTGCAATAAATATGTTGCTACAGGTAAAAAGCATAATTATTTTTTATTGTTTTAAATAAAAAATAAATTTTCCTTTAAATAAATAAATAATGTGGAATTTTATTACAGGATGGACCATTCTTGTCATTTAGACTCATTTTAATTATTCACTATCAGATAGTAAGTTACATGAATATTTTTTTCACCTGCAAAAATACTTTGGTTATTTTACTCCAATTGTATCGATTACACGTGGTGCAAACTGAAAATAAAAATCGAAGGAAACAAGAAAAATATGATAAATATGAGATTCCAAATATCAGTATTATTTATCGAAATGATAAGAATAAGAATAAAAAATATCGAGATGGTAAGAGAAAACGAAAAGTAAGAGAAATTGACGTTGAGGAAAATATTTCTGATAGTGATTATTCAGAAAAAATTGATAAATACGATTTGTCACCGAGAAATCATTCACGGTTAGTTTTATATTTTAATTTTTATTCATAAAAATTAATTTGTTTATTTATTTTTTAATTGTTGATTTTTTTTTAGAAAACCTAGAGAGGACTCGGGATATTCAAATTCAAGTTCACGTAATTCGAGAAAATCCGACGATTATAAAAGGCGAGAGAGAAAGAAAAAGAGTTCACGAAAGGAAGAAGTAAAACGTGAATCATTTAGTGACGATGATGAAAAATCGAAAAAGAAACGTGATAGAAAGGATAAGAAAAAATCTCGAGAAAATAAAAAAGCGAAACATGTATCTGAGGAGGAAAGTTCTTCGGAAGATTTTGATGAAAGTAAAACTGAGACTGAAGAAAGCGATTCGAATTCTGATGACAGGAAAAAGTATAATTTTCACTTTTTTTCTTTTTTAAATCTTGTATTTATTATTATTCAACAATTGTTAATTATTTATTTTATTTTTAGACAAAAACAAGGGAAACGTCGTTCTAATCGAGTTTGACACGGCACAATTGGAATATTATTCATTTTTATCGCAATTTTTATCATCTCTCTGTCTTTGATATACGCTGGACTAAATGATGGTATTATTTTAAAGAGATTTAATGTTTAACAAATATTAGAATATATATAATAATTATTCATATTTAAATTAAAATTAAAAGTTATTTAAATTAAAAATTAAATTTCGAAAAAAATTCATATATTTATAAGGAAATTTAAGAATTATTCAAGTAATTATCAAGTGGTTTTTAAAATGAATTGTACGATTTTACTGCACTTAATAAAATAATTAATATATTTAAATATTACAAATTTCAATTTTTAATTTAACTTTTTTTCAATTTAATATTTAATTTTTTGTTAATGTTTTAGTTCTTTTTTCTTAAATTTCTTTTTTAATTTAATTTTTACTTTAATTTTTACTTTAATTTTTAATTAAGTTTTAATTTGATTTTTAATTTAATTTTTTCCCTTACAGAACTTTTTTTTCAAATTCTGATTGAATTTGCATAAGAAAAAATTATTTTTATTTTAAAACGGTTACATTTAATATTTGTTTTATTACAAACAAGAGAATAAATATTTTTAATTAACGAATGCAGAAACAAATCTTAAATTAAATATTTAAAATGAAGAATTGCAAATCTTTTTGAGGTTATTAGATATAGTTTTCTTTTAGCCATTCTAGAGTTTCTGTGGCATTTAAAGTGTCTATGTAATTAGCGACATTTTCTTGATTAACTCCAGTGATTATACAATATAAAATTATTGTATTTTCTAGTAATATTTGTAAATCTTCTTTATTGATAAGCTCTTCGTTTCTTTTTGTGATAGTTTCATTTGATTTTACAATTTCTTCCTTTGATTTAGTTTCTTTTTTTGATTTTAGAATTTCTTCTTTTGATTTCACAGAATCTTGTTTTAATTTTATATTTTCTTTCTTTGACTTTATAGTTTCTTTTGGTTTTATTGTTTCTTTTTTTGATTTTGTAATTTCTTCTCTTATAGTTCCTTTTGTTGATCTCACTGTAGATAAATCTAAAGCCTCCATTGTTTCTTCATTTTTCTCAAAATCCTTTATTTTTGTATTCTCATCTACAAATGCAGTGGGTTTGTGATGATAAAAATCTCCAATCATTCCTAATTTTCGTTGTTCACCGAAATTTGATGCTACATTTTGAAAATCACAATTTTGCGACGCGGATCCTGTAATGTATTCGTGTGCTATTACTGTTTCTGAAGAATCATTTATATTTGTAGTAAATTGGTCAATTTTATTTTGTTCCTCGTCGTTTATTTCATATTCTGTTTTTTCACTTTGTCCACATTCTTGAAGGTAATTCATCTCCTCAAGTGGAATAAAATTCTCATAAAAAGATGTTATATTCATTGTAGAATCATTGCTGATTGTAGAAGCATTCCATTTTGAATTTGTCGCCGATGGCTTAATAAATTGATTATTTTGTAATTGTAAGGGACAAGAATTTTCAATTCTCTTTGAATTTACTCTCATTGGATCTTGTATTTTGAGAAGAATCAAAGCATTCTTAGAGGAACCGCGAATAATATCTTGTAGTTTGGAGCAATTATTTTGTATATTTGTCATCGAATTATTTTGAATGTTTGTTGTCATTACTGATTTGCGAGGTGTGATGAGACATTTTGCTGGTTCCATTCGTGCGGAAATAAATTTTAATACTTTATAAGTATTGTTGGAGATATTTTTTGACTTCGAATTATTTGATGATAAAAGTGAATTTGTTTTACTGTCGCTATTCTCAAGTTTTATCTCATTTTTATCATTTTGATTGTCTATGGTGATTTTTTCTTTTAAAAGCTTCAATCTATTTTGAATTACTGTTTGATATTCGTTACTTGATATTTGAGTACAAAATCCTAAGACTAAATGTAAACTGGAATGCATAATTGTTTGAAAAATATCAGTGTCATTGTCAAGTGAATTTTCAACTTTTTGAAATTCCAAATTTTCGATTCGTTGTCGTATTAATTTTTTTAATCGTAGAAAATCTTCGTCATGATCTTGTGATTCTGACAATTCCATTTCTAATTCCTCGGAGTTATTTAAATCAGTGGTTGAATCGATTTTTTTAATAAATTGATCCATGTATTGAATTCCCAAACCGTGCTGAAAAATATTTTAATTTTTTATTTAAATAAAAAATTCTGATTGAAATTTTTTATTTTCAAAGATATTTTATATTATAATTTAATATTAATTTTTTTTTAAAACAATGGAAATTGTTACCTCGAGATGAAAAACAGGTCTTTCGTGCATTCCATGAGCTGGCCACTCTTTCCAATCGATTAAATCATAAATGCTCGGAGTTTGTGATGTAGAACCAATTGTATCAAGTTTTTTTGTCACAGATCTCGTATTCATGTAAACAGTGTTTGATAATTTAATTCGTTTATTAGCTTCTGAATTTGAAAAATTCTCTTTTCGTTTAGTTGAAATCAATTTTTGTCGTGAAGTTACAAAATCTTTGTCAAAATTTTTTTTTGATAATCGAGTTGGATTTCGACGAACTTCCACAATTCTGTAAAACAGAGAAAGTAATGAAAATATTATTTTTAAAAAATTATTATTATTATATTTAAAAAACACTTACGTTTTGTTCTTGACATTTCTTTTTATATGTTTCTCATTTTGAGCAGCGGAATCATTATTGTTGTCATTAATTTTAATTTCTTCTTTTGAAATAAGTTTCTGTTGAATTTCATGATATTTTTTTTTACAATCGTTTGATAAAACAGTACCTTTAGGTATTTTTGAGAATAAATTTTTATTTCCCGGTAATTTTCCAAAGTTGACAATTTGATAATTTTCATTCTTAATGATTGTATCGTTTCTAGATGAATTGTATTTTAATTGACTAGATATTTTTGAATTTTGAACATTTAGTTCAATAAATTTCAAATTTGCCTTATTATTTTCATCCATAGTCCATTCCTCTTTTGATTTTTTATTCAAAACCATAATTTCCACACAATCATTATCAGTTTCCATTTTGTAATCTATATTTTAAATTTAGTTTATTAATTAATTAATAAACTAATGGAAAATTATTTTAATTAATAAGTTAGTTATAATTTTATTGAAATTACTGTAAAAATCTATTTTTACTTTTTTTTAATTAACTTTTTATTTATTATTTTAAATTTATTTGAAAAGCGACATCTACAATATTTTTTCCCGCCTTCAGTTTTTAGGTTACGTTCAAGGTTTCAAAACTACCGCGGTGGTATTCCCGCTCGTGTTTCCTGTCAATCGACCAGTTGAATGTTTTTTTTGTACTCGAAGATAAATAATTTAACAACAAATTATAAGAAAAATTAATTTGAGTTTGAGAGAAAGAAATAATAATGGATTGTGATTGGCTTAAGTGAATTTGTAAACGTACCTCAGCAATAGTGTGTCATTCACGTTGGCGTCACAAATGTTTCGAGTTCGTTGTGAAAAATAATGATTTCAATTGCTTTTTTACGAATATATTCGCAATATTTATTATCCAGTGATGATGAAAAACGATAATTAAGAACTACTAAAACGAATTATTTGATGTGGAAAACTTGACAATAGACGAGGAAGATGATAATTGTAATTCTAAAGGCGTGTGACAATCGTCAAATGTTTTACGATCTTCATCTGTTTTATAGGCTGATTACGGAAAAATTGAGGTAAGAAATACAAAAATTTTTTTTTAAATTTGTTCGAAGCGAGAATTATTTTTACTTTAAGATGAAATTGACAATTGTAACTTAACCTCAAAATTTATTGACAATTACAGAAAAAGACTTTTGGGCGAACTATTTTTACGATTAGTTTATAACTAAATTTGATTTATAGTGATTTATAGTCGTGAAATGTTAATAATATTAGTTTATTTAACTAACATTAAAGCTAAAAATAAAAAAAGTTGGTAAATTTTCGTTTTATGTTGAATTAATTTTATTTTATATCCGCGAATTTTCTTATTCTGTAGTGTTTTATTTTAATAAACAAAGTGCATTTACTTTATAAATAATTATATTTCAAATTAAATAATAATATCTATAGTATCTAAATACATAACTAGATCTTTGGATTAGAGGGATATTTATATACATAATACATTAATTAATGTTAAAACATTCTTATATATTGCACAAAGGGCACAAAGACTAGAGATTTATATTATTATTTACGACCCTAATTTTATGTGGTATTTTTACAGAGTTTGAAAATTAATTAATTTTTTCTTTTAGGTCATATTGTCAGTCGTTAGTGCTAAATTAGTTAAAACTGATCGTCGATTGGGGTTGACTCCAAGGTTTTCCCAATTTATCCACGATAATCGAGCTGTTAAATCTGTAAGTCAGAAAAAATTATTATTTCTTTAATTTTTTCAAAATTTTCAGATTTTTACTATTTTTTAATTTGTTTTTTAATTACACAGCCTAACAGGAAAATTTATAACCAAACAACAACGCGTATTTTTTTCAAGAGTTTCTGTTTTCTAAAAAGTTGAATTTTTTTTTAACAATTTATTTTTTTTATAAAAAACAATTTTCTATGTTTAGGGGGTAATTAATTATTGTTAGGATAATTTTTCTTACCACTTGTATTCCATTCAGCTCGTACGCCAATAATTTCTCCTCGAAGGCACCTTTCGATGTAAGTCAAAGGATCCTGTTTTGCATCCAAACAATCCCTAAGTAATGCTATGTACGCTATTGCTAATCGTAGGGTGTCAATTTTTGAGAGCCTCTTCTCGTATGGAAAGGTGGGTACATGAACCCTTAGCTCGTCGAAAGCCGAGTTGATGCTGCTAAAAATCGCAATTACACTTACAATCTGCTTATCTTACTTTATCATTCTTTTTGTTTTGAAAATTATTTTTTACTTTGAAAAACTTCTTAAAAAAAAAGAAAATAATTTTTTTTTCACCACTGATGGAGAAAAATTTTCTCACCTTAGCATTCGTTTTCGTTCTCTAATATTGGCAGCGTGTCTTTGAATTCTATAAGGACTGCCATTTGGATAATAACTTTCTTCAACTCCATTGATATCAATGTCATTGTGATCTGTGTGATTAAAATTTTAATTAATTTCCAAAATTTGAATGAAATTTTTTTGATATATTTCTATAAATTATTTTTCAAAAGTTTAGGAAATTTATAATAAATTTTTTATTTACCTTGAGTTGTATTTGGTATGTGATAATGTAAAGGTGAATGTGAATGTTGTGTTGTATGTGTCACGTGGTGTGGATTTCTTCCTGCATAGACACAAGATGGTAAATCAACTAAATCCTCTTCACTAATGTCATTGCTTGGGCCCACATAATATTGCGAACTGTAAAATAATTTTTTTTCTACTTAAAACTTTGATAAAGATAATCACGAATGAAATATCAAAAATATATAAATAAATAAGTAAATAATTATAAATTATATTTATTTATTATATATAAATAATAAAATAAATAATTAAATATTTTTAATTTCTAATTTTTATGTATAGATTAGAGTGATTTCATTACAAAAAAATAATTGATCCTTAAAATGGGTAAAAATATAATCTTGGCTTATATTCGTTTATTTTTTGTGGAAATAGTTTTTTTTTCTTTTAATCGAGGAATTAGTTTTTTTTTTTAAATTAATTAATTTTAAACCATAAAAAAAATAATTTTAATTTACCTTGAACATGCGACAGTGGAATCAGCAGGTCTAGAAGTCGTTCCAATTCGATGACGAATCCTCTGTCCTCTATCTTCATATTCGAAATGACCTGCCATTTTGGTCTCTCCCAGATAAAATTTGAAAAAAAAATAATTCTCACAAAATCACAGTTGCATTTTTTTCAAATGGAAAAACCAAATTTTTGTCAATTAACAAATTAGTTTCACAAAAACAAAATTATTTCAATAAAATATTCAAAAACGAAAACAGAAACAAAACGGAAATTTTTTTTTTTAATATTAATCAAATTAATGAAACAATTTTTGACATTTCCAGATTTGAATTATCATTCACTCTGTTTTTCAACTAGTAGCTAACTATCAGATAAATCCCAGGGGATTCGGTTTATATAGAGGATGCTGCGTTACTGAGGGATGATCAATATCAACCCCTGGGCGGAGCCTTGGACCAATCCTGACTCGCTGAGAGTTAACCGATTATCAAACTAGATACTGATTGGCGAAAACTTAATAGCGCATTTATCTTGCTGGGGTGGAGTATGAGTGCTTCTGCGGTTTATTGTTACTGCCGTCGAAATTTTGTTTTTTAGTACTTTAGCAAAATGTGTGAGAGAGAGAGAGGGGCGGAGAATGATGAGGAAATAAGAATATATTCATAAATCGAATACACAGCAGTAAATTTTAGTATCTAGTTTATTTTATTTTACATATCTGGATTTGAAGTTGATATAAATATATGAAATTTATATAGTTTTAGCACATTTTAGTGTTTAATGTATTTTTTTTTAAATGCGCGCGTGAAAAATATATTTAAAAAAAAATTGTTAATTTATCCTCACTTCAGAAAAAATTAATTTATTTTAACAAACGTAAACAGACAAAAACCATTTTTTAGTGTAGGAAAATTTTTTTTAATACTCGGAATTAAAATTTGCATTTGAAAATGTTATAATTTAATTTTATTTTACGAAAATTTGAAGTCAAATTAACTTAGACAGCCTGAGAAAAATGTTAAAAGTTCATTGAAACGAATGATATTGGTGTATATATTAATGTTTTGTGGTTGAATTGAAGATTTGGTTCAAATATTAGCCTTCCCGCACGTATAATATGAATGGGCCAATATTCAAATGAGCTCTGTTTAGTACTTTACAATGAAATGCAGCTTCGCAATTATGCAAGGTGTTAATACGACCACAATAGTCGGCAAGGGTTGTTGGTACATTGCCGATAAAGTTTTGTCCTCTTTCAGTGAATCAGAACTTAGTTTATGGTCTTACTTCCAATGACAAAAGTGAATTATTATTGGCCAAACGCCCGCCGATAATTGAGATCAGCTTTGTGACCGTGTATGAGAACTTATATATATGGATTCGTATAATCCACTCTTGTCATTCCAAAAAGGATTATTCTTTCTCGCGCTTCGCTCAATTTACATATTTCGATCTTATCTCATAATATCATCCCTTAATTTTCGCTAAAATTTATTTCAAAATTATTATTTGAAATATTTTTCTCTATTTAATTTGTTTTTTTTTTATAATTATGTGATAATCAAACAAACATCAAGTATAAATTTTTAAAAAAATTTATTATTGTTATACTAATATATTTTAATTTTTTTTTTTTTGTTACAGATTCAATGAACATGATGGAGGATATTTTGACTATTATCAACAATAATTAGTACCATATTGAGGTAAATTTGAAAATTTTATAATACAAAAGAATTATTTATAAAAAGTTTTAATTTTTTAAATTAACAAAAATTAAATTAAAAAATAAATTAAATTAATAGATTTTGTATAAAAAAAAAGACAAATGATGCGCGACATAAGTATGTAGGTATACATATGAGAATCGCGTATCAGATGAGATTTATCGCGGGAAAAAAGGATAGATATCACATTAGAATTTTGGAGAAGTGTCTCTTATAGCAGAGAAATTTTTAGGAGCGTGCCGCTTCAAGTGACACCGGGACAAATTTCGAGTGACTATTGTAACGTGAAAAACGATTATTTATCTCAATTTGTCACAAGGGAGGGGTCGAGCTTATGCGCGATTCGAGTGCGGGAAACCAAGATCGGTTTACTGATACACAATGTATTTTTTTACACCCTTTTGTTGACATAACAAAACAAAAAATTCAATTATCAATCGCCTAAAAGTCATACGTTGTTATTTTTTCAAAATCAGATTCTCGACAAAAATTGAATTACAAATTATATTTGAAAAAGAACAATTTTTAAAAAAATATATTTTTTTTATTGAAAAAATTAGAATTACAAATTTAAAAATCAATAAGAAAATATTAGGAAAAAAACAATTTTTTAAAATTCATTTTTTTTTTAATTCAGAAAATTAGAATTAATTACAAATTTAGAAAACTATTAACCAATATTAGGAAAAGAACAATTTTTTAAGAAATATATATATTTTTTTAAATTAAATAAATTAGAATTAATTAAGTTTTAAATTAAATGATTTTTTATTTTTTTGCACATTTTTTAAAATAAATATTTCAAATCTGCGCATGCGCAAAGCAAAGTACAGTTATTGATTTGACTAGTTGATCATTCTTCTCGATCATGTCAAGCAACAATCACGTCGTGTGATATTCCGAGTATAATTATATTAATTTACTGGAAAATTTGTCTTATTTTCTTGTAAATGATTGATCAGCGTAATTAGTGCACATTATTTCCATAGTAATGAATAAATTTTGTGCCAAAAATCGTAAATTGTCAACGTAAGTATGAAAATTTACCAAGAATTAATTTGTTAGGTTAGGTTAGACAATTAGCAAAATTTGCATTTGTTGAATCAATCAATGATTGTTTTTAAATCTTTTTAGTAATTAGACAATATATTTTGTTCTATTTATAAAAAAATCAGATGAAACTTGCATTTTAAACAATTTTTTAATTATATTAAGTATTTCACATCTGCGCATGCGCAAAACAATGTCTAGTTGTTGATTTGACTAGTTGATTATTCTTGTTCGTGACGTCAAGCAGCAATCATCGTCGTGTGATATTCCGAGTATAATTGTAGTAATTTATTGGAAAATTTGTCTTATTTTGTCGCAAAATATTGATCATCGTAATTAGTGAACATTCTTTTAATAGAAATGAATAAATTTTGTGCCAAAAATCGTAAATTGACGACGTAAGTATGAAAATTGTCGAAAGTTATTTTGTTAGGTTATGTTGGCGACAATTTGACATATTTTCATTAATTGAATCAATCAATTATTTTTTTTATAATCTTTTTAGTAATTATACAATATATTTAGTTCTATTTATGAAAAATTAGATGAAACTTTCATTTTAAACATTTTTTTAATTATTTTAAATACTTCACATCTGCGCATGCGCAACGCAAAGTCCAATTGATGATTTGACTATAGCTGATTATTCTCGTCCTTGACGTCAAGCATTAATCACGTCATGTAATTCTAGTATAATTGTAGTAATTTAATGGAAAATTTGTCTTATTTTTTCACAAAATATTGATCATCGTAATTAGTGCACATTCTTTTAATAGAAATGAATAAATTTTGTGCCAAAAATCGTAAATTGACGACGTAAGTATGAAAATTGTCAAAAGTTATTTTGTCAGGTTAGGTTGGCAACAATTCGACAAATTTTCATTTATCGACTCAATATTTGAATTCAATAATTAATTTAAAAGTATTTTCAAGATTAAATTTGATTTTTTTGTTGTATTTTAAAGGAAATTGATAAAATTTATGTATTTAAATAAATTTTGTCAATTGTTTGATAACTAATATCTGCGCATGCGCAGGGAAAAGTACAGTTTTTAATTTGACTAGAGTTGGCTATTTCAAGCAGTAATCAGTTTTTTTTTTGTAATTTTGAGTATAATTGGATTAATTTACTGCAAAATTTGTCTTATTTTCTCGAAAATGATTGATCATCGTAATTGGCGCAAATTCTTTTGATATCAATGAATAAATTTTTGGCCAAAAATCGTAAGTTAATGACGTTTTTATAAAAATTGTCATAAAGCTACTTTGTTAGGTTAGATCAGCGACAATTTACAAAAATTTTCAATTATCGATTGAATTTTCGATTTTCATTTTGTTTTTCAAATGTTTTTTAAAATTCGGTAAAAAAAAAAAATTTTGCAATTACATACTTAACAGATTCGTGTGCACAATTTATTGTTTTTTACTATTGCATCTATGTTAAACTTTTATTTTGACACATTCAGTTATATTAGTTACTTATTAATAATAATAATTAATAAATAAATATTATTTTTAGTGTATAATTATATTATTTATAATAAAAAAATAATTACATATAATCAAAATAATAATAAGTAATAAAAATATAAAATATTAAAATAATAATTCAATTCAATTTTAAATAGATTATTTTTCTATAAATATTATAAATGAAAGTAAATTTAATCATTATTTTATTATTTTTTATAGAAAATTATGAAAAAAAAATTTTAGTTATTTTTTTCTTTTAGAAATTATTTTTAATCAAAATTATTTAATTAAAAAAATATTTTCTGATAAAAATTAGTTTTGTAATTTAACTTTGTATGCTTATGTATAAATTTTTTTTCAGTTTGCCAGTGTATTTCTTGATGGGTGTTTGTTGCGGAGCAGCTCCTGGAGGAGATCTTGTATGGCTGAGCGCAGTTCAATGTATGTTGACAAACTTTTACATTTTTTTAAATTTTGAAATTATTTTATTTGAATAATTACGATGAATATGCTAAGAAAAAAATTAATTTTATCTTATATTAATCGATTAACTGAAAAAATAAAATATTTTTTTGTATTTTTCATAAAATATAAATAAATATATTAATTTCATTATTAATTAATATTTTTTAATTACATTATTGAGTATTATATCTTTTTCTAAAAAATTTCAGTCAGTTGGTGCAGTGCAGAGGATGTTTCGTTTTTGTTTTTTTGCTGTCATCGTATCTCTCTTTCATTGGGTGGGAATCAAGAAAGGTAAGTCTTTTCATTATTATTAATTTTATTTTATTTTAATACAAATTTAAAAATTGTGATTGCGATTTTATTCTTATTATTACCTTGTTGGTTATTTAATTTTTTAATGAATTTTTTTTTTATTTTTTCAGTTATTGTGCTCAAGAAAGAAAGGAAGGAAGGATGTGGACGAAGAAAAGTGGCCCCAGCATGCTGTCATATCTGTTTTCAAATCTAGTCTATTTTTTATTATTATTTTTTTTTTTTGCTGACAGCATAGCCTCCGACCTGTGCAGAAGTGCAGGAAGAGACAGGGATCTCGGGGGTGGTCCAAGAAGAAGCCAAGGTAGGGGCAAAGTTATCTTTGCTTCAACGTGGGATCGCCGATCGATGAGTGGTTTTTTTTGGTTTAACTCCTTCTCTGTTTAAAACTAGTTTTCTAATCAATATTCTTAATTTACAATTAATTACAATCGATTAATTCGTAAATTGAAAATTAATTTTTTTTATATTTATTTTTCAATTTTAATTTTAACTTTAATAATTTTTTCCAAAAAAATATATGTATTAAAAAGTTTTAAAAACAGGGAAGGTATTCTAGCAACATGGTGACATCATTGATAAAATGTATTATTTTTTGTAGTAATTTTCCTTACTACATGAATTAATATTTTTGTTTTATTTTTTAATATGTAGAACCTTGATAAGTTGGTTAACGTTTGAAATTTTGAGTTAAATGACCTTTAATTTATAGAAGTTTAAATATAAAATTTAATTTTGAAAAAATTTAGAGAAATAAAAATTAGAGTTTTCGACTTATTGAAGTTCTACTGTATGTGAATGAATGGTGTGTAATTTTGAGCTCAGGTGACGGTAGCCTCCCGGGACGCTAGCCCTAGTTTAGGTCTTTTGCACCTGGGCGGTATGTGAGAATCGGTGTGAATAAAAAAGGCTTTTTTTTCTTAAATATAGCTATAGGTAGAAAGGAATAGTTTATTTTTTTGTATGAGTGTGATATATTTTTTTCCGATTTAAATTTACGGGTAGGTAGGAAAAATAGGAATGTATATTTACTGTAAAAAAAAACAGTAAAATATACTCTGCATTTTTTTTATGCAAAGCAAAAAAGTCTTTCATTTGTTTTCAAGTTGATTTTCGGTTATACAACCTAAAAGCAAATGTTACAGACTTTTTTTTTACTTTATATGTCACTATGTTGTTAGAATCTTATTTTATTATTTCCATTTGTGAATTGTTTAATCAAATATTTTTTTTAATTGATCATTATTTTCAGAAGTTTTGTGGTGAGCAAACATTTTCTATCTTTTCTACTAATCATTTTTTTTTCAGGAAAAAAAATCCAAATTAATTTATTGAAAAATCTTTCAATAAAAAGTTTGGTTCTTTTAATTAAATTCCACAAATTTTGTAAATTAAAAAAAATTTCACTTTTTAGAACCCAATCATCTGAATGACATCACACCCCGGAAGGAGGAAAATGTCGAAGTTCCACCCTTGTTCTGAGAATTATTACCAACTTGGATTATTTTTTTAAAGATGTAAGTATAGAAATTAATTTTTAAACAATTGAATTTTACAAAACTTTGCTCTTAAAAAATATTCAATTTTATTTTCTTGAAACTGAATTTATATAAACAAAAGAAAATTATTCTAATCAAGGGATTCGGTAACCTGTATTTTGACAATGATTCTAGTTAATTAAATCCTTTCGATGGGATCCTCGACTTTAGATGCTTTCTTGTGATATACTCGATTTCCGTGCAAACATTTAATTCGCGATTACATTATTTCGGAGAGGGTTTTTCTAAATAAGGCGGACCTCCTGTCAGCACCAGTTTTTGGGCGCTATAACAAGAGGGGTACCCTGAACCAACCCCTATATAATAGAGATTTCACGCCGGGGGCCCCCTTTAGGTTCTCACAGTAGGGGTCTTTTTACAATCAACGATTTAATATTGGCCTGATTTTCTCAATTGTTAAATGAAAATCATTATTAGCCGCGTGGACTATTTTTGTTCCGTCGGACGATACGTCCCGTACGCGTGCCTTTAAGTATCTGTTTATAGTCCTCAGGGATCAATTTGTTTGCTAAATTATTTATTGGTCAAATATGCTCACAAGGTTACACGAGTGGTTGGACATGGTTTACCGAAAATCTGTTTGATATTCGGCTAGATTTGCGGTTGGGAAAAACAAACATCATTTTTTTTTTTTTTTTGGTCCATTTGAATTTTTAAAGAGATTTTTTTCGATTGTTAACTATATTTGAAAAGAGGAGAACGAAAATGTTTTTTATTTTTTGTTGGTTATAAGTACAAGAATTGAATTTAGTTCTTACATAAACGTGTTTACGTAATTAGAAATTATTTTGATTGTTACGTATGAGATTATATTGATTTTTCGTTAAAACAATTGAAGGTTGTTATTTTTGTTGTCCGCTATTATAATATCTAAATTTGCTTTTATAACTAAACCAGATATCCAGCCAAATTGTCCGGATTTTGTTCCTTTTGCGCCGAACATTTTTAATAATTCACCTTGACGTGAAAAAATTTGAACTCGTGAATTTCCTGAATCTCCTACCAAAATGTTGCTTCTATTGTCAAGTTGTACAACTTCTGGTGTTCTGAAATAATTTTTTTCGCATTTAAATCTTCCAAGATATAAATTATAATTTTTATTTTATATAATTAATTTGTTAATACAATGTTAATTATTTTTATTTTTAATTAAATAGTTAATTAATTATTTAATAAAATAATTTTTGTACCTAAAAAGACCTCTCAGAATACCCGATCCTCCAATATAGTGGACAAGTTGGCCTTTGTGATTGAAAATCTAAAATATTATCGGAATAGAAAAATAGTTTTGAGACGAAAAATTTTTATTTGAATTTAACTTTTCAGAAACAATATTTCACCTTAATTTTGTGATTTCCACTGTCAGCTACGACTATTTCTGCTATTGAAACGGCAACGTCTGCCGGTTGATTTAAATGATTTACAGAAATGCTTATTGTTTTTCCTGATGTGTTAATTGCGGCTGCTGAATTTTTTGTCGAACCAATACTTCCATGATATGTTCCTTCAAAATTGAGAATTACAATTCTATCATTTCCCGTGTCAGCTATATAAATTAATTGTTCATTTGGATGAATTGAAATTCCTTCCGGACTTTGTAATTGTCCTTTTTCTCTTCCTTTACTGCACATTTTTCTTAAATAATCACCATGACGGTGAAACACAAAAATACAGTGTCTCCATTTGTCTGAAAATATTTTATTTTAAAAATTAAATTTAAAAATTTTTGTATTTTTAATTTTAAAATTACAATTAAATTTTTGTATTTTCTTTTTTTTACAAAATTTAAATTAATTTAATTATTATTAGATTTTTATGATAAAATTAGGGACGGTTTATAAAATAAATAATTATTATAATAAAAGAAAGTTTGTCAAACTCAAACATTTGACTTGAGGAATTTTTTTATTATTATAAAAATTCGTACTAATTCGTGTGTTCCTTTAAATTAATTATAATAATGAAAAGATTGGAAAAAAGGGGTCTTTTTTTTACCTGTGACGAAAATTTGCTCAGTTTCCTCGTGATATGCAACTCTTTGAGGAGCTATCATATCAACATGATAAAAGCTTTTGATAAATTTGAATTTTTTGTCTAAAATAATAATTTTTGGCTTAATTCCTGGACAAGCGACAAATAGATCATTCCTCATGGAATCAAAAGCAAGTCCCGACGGTCGCTGTATTGTTTTGTGTTCATAAATTAATTGAGGTATAAATGACTTGTTTCTGAAAATTTTTTCTTCATTAGAGTTTATGTATTCTATATTATTATTATTTTAATTTATTGTTATTATTATTATTATTATTATTATTATTATTAATTATTAATTATTAATTATTAATTATTAATTATTATTATTCTTGTCTGGTTTAATCGAATAATAATTTTTAATTTTTAACAAATAATAATTCATATAATAATTTATATAATTTTTTTCATAATATAATAATAATTTTATTATAATAATATATTCTTATATTACATTATAATAAATTATATATTATATAATAAAATCAAATTTACAATTAGATAAAGTTTAAATTTAAATTTGAATAGTTTAATAATAATTAAGATGATTGATTATACAAACTTGTAGTGCAAATTAGGGATTTGTTGATGTTTCGATATTTCTGATCGATGATTTTTTGAAGTTGAAATAATTTCCATTGATGTTAAATTTGCTTCCCAAATTGATACAGCTGACATTAATTCAGTCATTTTTCGATGTAGTTCTAGAAATAATTTTACCTGTAATAAAAAATAATTGATTTCAATAATTGAGTAATAATTTCTCAAAAACCTGATAAATATATTTTTGCAAATTTTTTTTTTTTTTTAAATATAATTTTTATCACTTTGTTTTATGCATAGAAATTATGTTTGTTAAAAAAAAAATTTTCTTAATGGGTTTATTATTGAAAAAATGCTTCTCAAATAAAAAATAAGACACAAATAGTAATTTTAATCGTCTATGAATTTTTAAAATTTTTATATTATAGTTTTTAAATTTGATATTAATATATATAAAATTGAAAAAAATGGGTTATCTTTTTTCTTCTAATACATATATATCTTTTTGTTCAGATGAGTAAGCTTTATGAACAAAGTTGTTCTAGTGAAATATATGCAGAGCAATGCAGTTGACGTTTACCGCAATTCATTCGTGCAATGATGCAGCACTAAGCTGTGGCCAATTGCGGGACAAAAAGAGACAGATAGAGTACAATTTTTGTGTACTAACACTTATAGAGGTACCCCTTAAAAAGAAGTAAAACTAGGCAGTCACGTGCCAAAGCGTGCGGCCCTTTGTGATCAAGAACTACTTTTCTGTTTCTGTCTTTTGCTCTATTTCTCTCTTTTTCTCTCTCTTGCTTGTTCTACAGAAAAATCCTTCAATTCGTAAGGGCGGAATTTTACAATTCAACGTGCAAAGACACGTGTTTTCTGGCCAACATTTTGTTTGCTTTTGTTTCAAAAGGTTATATAATGTGTATCTTTTCTCGTGTAAAATCGTTTAAAATTTATTAAGAAGGTATAGAAAAATTTTAGTATTATCCAATTTATTCGAGAAAATAAATAAATTCTAGAACTTAAATTTTTATTCATTGCGGGATCATTTGGAAATAGTGTTACTGAAAAAAAATTATTTGTTTCAATTATAATTACATTCAGAGAAATATTTTTTCATTTATTTGAGACAAATAAAATTTATTTTGAATTGAATAAAAATATATTTGTCTCAGAGTCTAATAATCTTTTATTTGTTTCAAATAAAAAATTTAATTTGGTACAAATAAATTTTTTTATTTTAACCAAATAAAATTTATTTGAATTAAATTATTTTTTTATTATAAATATTTATTATAAATTATTTATTTATTGTAAATAGTTATAAAAACCAAAAAAAATATATTTGAAACAAATAAATATTTATTTGGCTCTGACAACAAATATATAATTTCTCTGTGTGTAAATATCAGAATTTTATTTAAAAATTTATCTCCAATTTCAAATAACAAGAAAATATAAAATTTTTTATTACTTTTTTCTAAATGAGTCAAATCAGTATTTTAAATATAAATTTAATGGAAAAAAAAATGTTTACTTGAGTTAAATAATTTTTTTTTTTTTGAAGTTAAATTTCGATTTATTTGGATCCGGAAAAGTTTTCCTTTGTCAGAAATAAATTTTGTCTGAGTAAAATCTTATTTGACTGAACTAAAGAGATTTTATTTTTAATTTACTATTTATGTCGAGTAATAAAATACTTGGTTAAAATTTTTTTTTAGTTATTACAAAACAATAATTTTATTCACATAAATAAATATTTTTTTAAAATTTATTTTCACCACTTTCTAAATTTGTTTTTGTAATATGATCGTAATTAATTAAGTTTGATTTAAATTACTATTTATTGGATACAATAAAATATTTATCTTCAGTAAATTAATTAATTAAATTAAATAATAAATAAATTTTATTTTATCCAAATAATTTTTTTTCAGTCTATTTTCTTAAATTTTATAAAAAAAATTATTTTTTGCAAAAAAACTGTCAAGTATAAAAACCAAAATTATTACAATTTGGATAATTTTTTTTTATCTTAATGAAGAAAATCTGCTTTTACATTCAATATATATTTTGTGTTGGGGGTGCTCATCAAATAAAAAAGAAATCTGAATCTGTGATGGCTATTAGAAAATTGGCTTTACAGTGTTACATTCTCGCGTGACCGGGACGATATAAACATACGTGTTAGAAATAATGATACACCAGTTAGTTACACGTCAGTTGATTTTCCCAGGGTGTTCTTATATGTATATTGTATTCGTGGGTGAATTAGGGGTCCTGAACCATCGTTGTTACATTCATTCAGTATGTCACTGTGGCTAATTTTAGGGAGCATGTATACACACACCATCGAACATGTGCCCCCCGCTCCAAATATATAAATTTCTTTTAAAAAATTCTACATTAAGAATCAGCCACTTTGATCTGTCACCATTGCCCTCTAATCTTCTTTTTTTTTCTCTCTCCTCTAGAGGATAGTTTTTATATCCGATAAATTATTTGCTAAAGTCGATGATTATGTTGTGATTGCGATTGGAAAAAGATATCTGACATTTTTTTAAAGTAGCTTATAATTCAATGTTATTCTGATTTGATTGTAATTTTTCTGACTTTACTTTATTACTTTATAAATTGAAATTTTTTTTAATTAATTTGCTAATTTTTACAAAAAATTTAGCTAGTAATTTTATTATAATTTTATTTATTTTTAATATAATTTTATTATATTATTATATAAAATATTTTTTAAATAAAGTTTAAGTGAAAAATGACTAAAAATTAGTAGAAATTTTCGATAATTTTAATTAGGCAATAAATTGTCATTAATTCAAATTTAGAGAGTAGTAAAGGACCGTTTTAGTCAGACTGGATTTTTTTTTTGTAAATTTTAATAATTGTATAATAGTTTGTCTCCGAACCTACTAACTCATTTATTTGTTGCAAATATATATTTTATTTCATTTAAATAAAAAATTTATTTGAGCCAAAGAAAAATTTATTTATGATAAATAAAATTTTTATTTACGCCAAATAAATAAGTTAGTAATATAAATATTTATTTGTATCAAATAATTATTATTATATTAATTAAATGGTATTTGTTTCAAAAACAGAAATTAGATTAAATTATAATTTATTTAATTGAAATAAGAATTATTTGATTTAAGTAAATATTTATTTGATAGTAGTCAATTTATTTAAATCAAATAAATAATTTATTTTGTAAATTTGAATTGTTGAGAATTTGTTCAGTAATTCAAATTAGTAAAAATTTCAACTAATTTTTAATTAGTTCTCAAAAAAACTTTATTTTAACTCACTTTTTGCTTTTTAGTTAGTTAAATTTTACTAATTCGATAGTAAAATTTTTTTTACTGGTAATTACTAGAATTTTACCAATTTTGAGAGTTAAATTTTTTTCTTACTATAAATTAGTTAAATTTTACTAATTCGATAGTTAAATTTTTTTTACTGGTAATTTTACTAATTAGATAGTTAAATTTTTTTCTTACTATAAATTAGTTAAATTATTCTAATTCGATAGTAAATTTTTTTTACTGGTAATTACTAGAATTTTACCAATTTTGATAGTTAAATTTTTTTCTTACTATAAATTAGTTAAATTTTACTAATTCGATAGTAAAATTTTTTTACTGGTAATTTTACTAATTCGATAGTTAAATTTTTTTCTTACTATAAATTAGTTAAATTTTACTAATTCGATAGTAAAATTTTTTTCTTACTATAAATTAGTTAAATTTTACAAATTCGATAGTAAAACTTTTTTTACTGGTAATTTTACTAATTCGATAGTTAAATTTTTTTCTTACTATAAATTAGTTAAATTTTACTAATTCGATAGTTAAATTTTTTTCTTACTATAAATTAGTTAAATTTTACTAATTAGATAGTTAAATTTTTTTTACTATTAATTAGTTACATTTTACTAATTTAAAAACAATAAGTGAGTCACTAATTCAATTTACTTAAAATTTTTGATAATTCAGATTTAGAGTTTTGAATTTTTTTTTAATTTTATTACCAATAGTATAAAAGACAATTTTAGTTGATAAAAGTTTATATTTTTGTAATTTTAGCATCAATGGTAAAAGTATAATTCAGTCAGACTTTTTAGAAAACTTAATTGAATTATCACTAAATTAGTATTCGATTTTGTCGGTAATTTTGGTTTCTATATAGTAATAAATTATAACGAGGATCGTTAATAGTAACTGCATCAAAACCAAATATGTGGAGTTTGCGCAGTGATTTTGCGGCTGAAGCACATAGCCTGTAGTTGACTCTTTATGGTGAGTTGTGCTTGTGACGTGAATTATTAACCCTCAGGCTTCAAGTTGGGGGTGGCAGGCGTGGCCTATGGGGAACCATAGGGGTGGCAGGCGTGGCTCACCCCTCGAAGGCTCAAGCAGAATCAAAATTGATTTCAAATGGTTTCTATATTCCTTCTTTGCCGCCTTATAGTCTTGTTCAATCATCTTTTTTTTTCATTTTTCATATTCTCGAAAAAAATTTTTTCAATTGTTATTTGAGTCAATTTGATAGTATTTGTATTAGTTATTTGTTTCAGAAATTTTTTTTGCATTTGATATGGGCAATAATTGACTTAGCTGTGGTAGTTAAATTTTTTTCTATGTTGAGGTTTTTTTTTTTAACAATAAATTTTCGAATTATTATAATTGATTCTTGATTTTTAAATTTATAACATTGTTATCTATGTTTGCGGTTTATTTTCGATCAGAATTATATTTTTTTGTTATTACAAAGAAAGTAATAATTGTGATCAATGATTAATTGATATTGAAAGCGAAAGTTTTTTTCGAGAGAATTTTTTTCAATATATAAGAGAATTGAGTAACCTTTTTCTTCGTTTGTCTGGTCACCAAACCAATCCTGGTTCGCATTTACACAGTGGTAATGGACTGTCAGATCCAGACGTTGGTTGCTTGTACTTTATACACGTATATACACCATTACAGTTGAAATGGTCCTCTGATCCCTCTTTTCTAAACTTTTATAAAAGTAAAACTCCCAATAGATATTTTTCATTTTTTTTTTTGTTATTATTTTTTCTTATCTAATAATATTTTCTAATTATCGACGTATTTTATATTGAAAAATAATAATGTAATAAAAAAAATTTTCTTTTAAATAGTTTGTAAAAAAAGTGGTTTCGAACAAAATAGTTTAAAATAGTTCAAAATAATTTTTAACTAATAAAAATTTATTTGATATTCATCAAAATGAAAAAGAGAACAATTTTAAATAATAAAATGAAAGTAAAAAATAAAATAATTTTTTTTCATGTTTTTTTAATTTTAATTTTTTGGATTTTGTTATATTATCAAAAACCTCAACCGGAAGATTATTTTCTCTCTCATCTCGGGATTTCAAAACCTCGACTCTTTTCCAACCTCCCTGGACCTCTATTTCACCCTCCCACCCCTTGTGTTGATCAATACTATGCGAGATCCTGCAGAAGACAGGTAGGGCGAGTTAAATTTTATTTGGCAAAAATGGAAAAAATGTTACTTTTTTTTTTTTTTTTAATATTAACAGATTTCTCGTTCAAAAGTTATTCGTGCGTCTTTTATTAATTTATCCTATATTTCCGATCATCATTTAGACATAATATATATGTGTTACCTCATTTTTAGTGTTACATATATTTTCTGATAATAATTTCTCTTTTTGTTTTCATTATATATAACAATGAATTGTATAATATAACACAGTTAATTCTGTTTAACTGCAATCGATATTTATTGCGATTCGAGGAAAAAAGATATTTTTTAATGACTTACTTTTTTTTATTTAATCAAATTTTGGGAAAATATACTTTGATAATTTTATCAATTTGGGTTATTTAAAATTTATAAACAAAGATACAAATGTAACTTTGTTTTTTATAATTTTTTTTTTTCATTACTTTTTGTGGGCAAAATTATTATAAAAGTGGAATACTCACTTTTTCCTGATTATTTGGTGCAGAATTACAGACTTCAGCCTTTGTCTCTATAACTTCAACTTGGGCATTGCAAATTTTTTGCTTTATTTCCTCAGCCGATTTTTCATCTTTAGCAAAAATGTCATTTGCTTTTTGAATTCGTTCTTTTCGTAATTTGTCTAATTCCAGGATTTTTGCTTCGATTTCCCTGTTGAAATTTTCCTTAACACCGTTGACTTTTGTCTATAATGTAATAAAATCTAATTGAGAAGATTTAGAAAATTATTTTCAATTTCGCATAAAATACACTGAAAAAAAATTTTATTTGATTAAAATAATCAGTTAATTGACAATTTATATAAATATTTACTTAAAATAAATAAATTAAATTTTTAATTAAAATTAAACTTGAAATTTCTGTTAAATAAACTTTATTTGAACTTTATTTTCTGTTTCTGAAACAATAATATCATTTAATTAAAATAATAATTATTTAATAATTTATTAATTTAATTTAATAATAATAGTTTATATTAAATAATAATTTATTTATTTAATATAAATAAATATTTTGATAATAGTCAAGTAACCCACTTTTTGAATCGAATAAATTTTTTTTCAGTGTATTTCTTGAGTTTTGAATAATTACCCGAAGTTCATTTATTTTAGAATTTATTTTGCAATTTGTATTATCTAATTGCTCGACAATAACATCTAATTCGTCTTTTAAATCATTGACATGTTGAAGCCAACAAGTGTTGCAAAATATCTGAAATGATATATTTATTTAGAATTTTATAATTGTAATTTAAAGTTTTTGTTTTATTTTTTTTTGTTTTAGCTTCAGCAATTAAAATTTGGCTGAAACAATAAAATTAAGGTTCCTAAAATTAATGTAAAATTATAATTAATTGCAATTATCACCTGTCTGCAATGTTTGCATTGCTCTTCATTGTTACAAATAATTCTGCATTTAAAACATTTGATTTCTTCTGTTGATAAATTAACAACAATACTTTTTGGTACTATTTTCTCGGATGATTCCTCATTATTACCAATAATTTGTAACATATTTTCAATGTACAAATTTGTCGGCAAATTTTCCGGTGAACATTCTTTGATTATTAGAAAACATGTTGAACATTTGAAAGATGTTTCTGTAAAAATTTTCTATATGTTTCATTTATATTTTCATCTCAAGTTTTGAAAAAAAAGTTCTACGAAAACTACTTTTTTATTGATAATTTTTTTTTTTACTTATACTTTTTGTTAATTGTTGCTGCAAACATGATAAACAAAATGTATGTTGACAGGGTAACATTTTAGGCATTTTGAAACGTTCATTGCAAATTGCACATCTTAAAATTTCTTCTATTGCACCTAATGATGTTCTAAAATTAAGATTGAAATTTTAATATTAAGTTAAAATTTTTAATTTTTAATTAGCATTATAAATTTTTAATACCTGTTTCGTCTACTTCTACCATGTTTTTTTCGTAAAATAATTGATGATTCCGATGATGTTGAATTTTGTGGAATAATTAAATCTCCACTGAGAAATGATACTTTTTGATTATTTTTTATTGTTTCTGAAAAACTATTTTTCGTTTGACTTTTATTCTCTTCACTTATTTGTTTTTTGAAAATTGACTTTAATTTCGATGCCATTTGGATATTTGTTGTTATTTCACTTTTTCATTATAATTTTATATTTTCCGTTGTGCGTAAACCACTTTACACAGATTTTAAAATAAAATTGTTATTAATCGATAACAAATGACAATGGAAATTTAAAAATGCACTTAATAAAATTGCAGTCGACATATCTGATAATTTGTTAAGAATGACTCAATTATATTACATTTGATCTTATCATTTGTTAACAAACTTTGTTATCTGATAATGAGATTAAATAATTTAAAAAGAAAAAAAAATCATTTTTTTTTAAGTATTATTATCGTTACTCTAAAAAGCAATTTGTCATAATTAACTGAAGATGCACTGACAGAATGTTTAAAAATATATTTTTTAAATTAATAAAATTTGAAAAATTCTAATTAATAGGTAAATTAATAGAAAAAATTAATTATTATTTGTTAATGATTAAAAAATTGGATAAATTAATTAATAAATGAAAGATTAGAAGAAGGTGAATAGTTTTTGTTAATTTAATAAACAAAAATTATTTATTGTAATTCTATTTAATAAAAATTAAATTATCAGCAATTTAATTGATATGAATTTCACTTCATCACTTTTTACAATTTACACTTTTGATAACAGTAGATTCGTAGGAACTCTCTTTCTTTTCTCACATTTCATGCTCAGTCAACTCCTGACAAAGACTATTTTATTAATTTAGCGAACGTGGCCTCAGACCCTGTAACAAATTGCTTAAATTGCACACTTGCATTCTAAACTAATAAGTCATTCACTTCTCGTACATATGTAAGAGAAGGAAATTCTACATAAATTATTCTGTATTATTTATTTTATATTTTTATATTTTATAAAACTATTTTTATAGTTTAATTATTTTTTAATTTATATAAACAAAAATTTTTTATTTATAACAAATGGAAATTTTTTTACCATTAGGAAAAAAAAAAAATTTATTAGTAAAAATTTTATGCTGATTAAATATTACTAATATTAATAAAAAATAATTATAACAATTATATGAAATAATAATATAATTAATAATGGTAAAGTAAATACTATAACAAATAAAATAATTTATTTTTTGTTGTATCAACAAAATTTTAAAATATAAAATATAAATATAAAAATAGGTATAAATATAAAAATTTAAATATAAAAATAAAATATAAAAGAAACAAATTTCTTTAAATAAATAAAAAAATTAGTTTATTGTCTATAAATGAAATTTTTTTTAAATATTTGCGCGACTCTTGTAACCAATCGATTGTTCGCCTAGAAAAAGATGGCGCCGTGTTCCCCTTCTTTTTATCATCCTCCCACGCCATTCAACTGGTAGTCGTCAGACTCCTAGAAGTTTATGCTTCATTGCGTCCATGTGTTTTTTATTTATTTTTTTCTCAACTAAAATGGAAGATTTTTTTCCAATAAACAAACAAAGAATTAATTTTTTTATAAAACTCGCGAGTGTTGGTGCTAAAATAATTAAATAAGGAAAATTTTTGTGAATGAAGAAAAAAAAATTATATATATATATATATAATATAATTATATAAATATAATGTTCATATAATATTTAAATGCGTTTGTTACGCAAGATTCTTCTGAACTTGACAATTATCATTGTCTTCGTTATAATACTTTACTGCCTTCAAACTTCTAATGGTGCTTATTGGAGTATTAATAATTTTAAAATACAAAATGCCACTAAGAAAACAAATCTTCCATCCACCGTAATGACAAAAAATACAACGAGTGATTATGTTTTCATTGAAATGAACGCAAATCTAACAAGTTCGATGGAAACGAAGAAAAAAGAATATTATAATATATGGTGCATATTTACCAAAATTACAAATAATTCACCAATGCGAAGAAAATTTAAAATTTTCATCGAATCATTGTTGAAATTTACTTCTGTCGATATAATTTTTCATGTTATTAGTGACACGAATAGTAAAAGTATCGCTGAGAAAGTAATACAGGTGGTTCAAACTGTATTGGGAAAAAACATGAAGGTAAGTGCTTTATTATTTTTATAAATAATTTATTAATTTAGAAAAAAAAATATTTTTTAATGATTTTAAAAAATTAGTTTAATTAATCTGTGATTATTTTTTTTTCAGGTGCAATTTTATGACGTACATAAGCTAGCAATGGAATTGGAGGATATTGTTTCTGTTATGTCGCCACATTTTAGTAGTAAGCCAGGAACGTATTATTCGGATGCTCTTTTTTTTCTATCATTGGGTTTGCATAGAATAGCGCCACCCGAACAAAATGTTGCAATAATGTTTGACGCTGATACCAAATTTCGAACAGACGTTAAAGAAATTTTCAAAGAATTTGATAATTTTGGAGATGACGCCTTATTTGGTCTTGCTCCTGAATTAACACCTGTTTATCGTCACGTTTTATATCTTTATAGAAGCAAAAATCCAAAAACTAGATTTGGAGATCCTGGACATAATGGTGGTTATCCAGGTTACAATAGTGGAGTGATTTTACTTAATTTGGACAGATTAAGAAAATCATTGGAATACGATCAAATTGTCAGTAGGGATAGCGTTGAACATATGGTTAAAAAGTATTATTTTAAGGTATGCATTAAATAAAATCAAATTAATTTAATTTTAGAAATTAATTTAAAGAAAAATAATATTTGGCTGTTTTATATATATTTTTTTTAATTTTTGAAAAATTAAATTTTAAGTCAAAATTTTAATTCTAAGTTCTATTCAAAAATTTGTTAATTAATAAATTTTTTTCTAAATTTTCATGACGTAGCATAATTTTGTACAATGAACAAAAAATTTTTTTTTGAATCAAAATAATCGATTGACTGTTGTCAAATAAATATTTACTTGAACCAAATAATTTTTATTTGAATTAAAAAAAATTTTATTTGAACCAATAATTTCTGTATTTGAAACAAAGACCATTTAATTGACTTAAATAATTTTTTTTAGTGTACCTTTAATAAAAGAATTTTTAATTTCTTAAATAAAATAAAATTTCAAAAGGTTAAAATTTCACCGTTTTAAGAAAAGAATGTTTGCTTTAAATAAAAAAATATTTTTCAGGGACATCTAGGGGACCAGGATTTTTATACGATTTTAGGAATGGAACGTCCTGAACTAATTCACACAATAGATTGTGGGTGGAACAGACAATTGTGTACTTGGTGGCGAGATCGTGGCTATGCAGACGTTTTTGCCAATTATTCTCAATGTGATTCAAAAACAAAATTATGGCACGAAAATTGTAATTCGCCAATTCCAGACGATTAATTAAAAAAAAAATTAAATTATTAATTTTTATTAATTATTTATTAATTAAATTATTAATAATAAATTAATAATTAAATTTCTAATATTTCGTTTTAAAAAAAATTAATAATTGTGATTATTAAGTGGCAATTATCAAAATATTTGTCTTTATTAAAGAGTTTATTAAAAAATATTCTATATAAAGAAAAAAAAATTTATAATATGCAATGTACTTGTTGAAAAATCAAATTTAATTAATGAAATTAATTATTGAATTATAATGAGATGTTGTACTAAATGCCATAAATGTAAATATTAAATTTTTTTCAATGAAATAACTATATTTGCTATTTGTCTGCGATTGTGTCTGGTTTTTGAAAATAATATATTTTTTTGAAAACTATGACAATTATCGTAAACTTATGCTCAAATTTTGAGTTGTATGGCCATTTTTATTTGACAAACAGTATTTCAATTTATAAGGTTTATACTAAAACTAGTATTAAGATATTTATAATTTTTTATAATATTATTAACGTGGTTTTTTTTTTACAAATAAATAAATGGTACATTTTTTTCAATATGAGTGTTTTTAATCGGGAATAGAAAATAAAACCCTTTTCTTTCATTTGAATTAAATTTTAATTCACTTATATTTATAAGTTATACAACGCACATAAATAAATTACAGCATTTTGCCGTAATAATAACGTATGTGGACATTCTTTTTACAAAATAAATTTTTATAATTTAGATGAAACTTAAAACTATTAACTTAACTATTTCGACATTTTAATATTATTATTATATTCAAAGAATTATGATGTTTTATTTTTATTTAATGCAAAAGGAAATTAATTGATGATGGAAGAAAATGTTTTAATAGAGGGAAAAATTAGAATTTGTTATTTGGGAAAAAAAATGGAAGTTTTAATATAAAGAAAATTAGAATTTTTATTATATGGAAGATTGTATTTAATTTTTAAAGTGAAGAAAAAAAAATAAAAATTTCTATTATACGTGAAAATAAAGTATTTCAATGATGTATTTCAATTGATTAAACGATTAAACAAAACAATAATAATTAAACGAAGAATTGTAATATTTACAACTAGATTTTTTTTTGTACAGAGAAATGTTATATCAGATTTTTTATACTGCATTACAAAATACTTTCACCCATATTAAAAATATTACTCTAGGTCTTGGATTTTTTTTCGTAATTCGCAGATATGTTTTAATTTTTTTTTTAGGATAAATGAATTTGTTTCGTATAATACATAAAAATAAGAAGAATTGTTACCTTTGGTCCCGTTGATAGAAACTTAAAAGAGTTTACTTTCAATGATTAGAATGTGTTAGTTAGCATTATTTGCACAATATTACATTCGTCCTTGATAGACTTTGGTATTTAGTTCTTTTTTTTTCTTTCTTACTCGTCGTTGAAACATGACCAAAGCTAAGATTGAACGGTAATATTTCATTTAAACTAAATAAAAAAAAATAAAAAAAAAAAACAATGAGCAATATTATTGACTATTTTCAAAACAATATTTATAATACAGTATTCTCGAACATTACAAATTATATGTTATTCCTCAAAAAGTTTTTATGTACATTTTTTTTTTTTTTTTTATAGAATCAGAATTTTTCTCAAGGATTTTTAATTATTTTACTTCACGATATTGTGTTTTTATATCAACAAAGTTCAATCAAATTAAATTTGATTTAAATTATTTAACGAACATTATAAATATTTTAGAAAAATATATTTTTAATTTGCGAAAAAAAAAACGATAAACTATAATTTTATGCTCGTGTTTTGTTGATGATTTAAAAATCGTGAAAAGTACCTTTAAGAAAAATTCTAATTATCTTAATCAATAAACTATTTGTTAGCAATTTCCCTAGATTGCTAAATTTTTTGAGGATTTAAATAAATTTATACATAAATAATTTTTTTTTTTTCATAACGCAAAGTAGTCAATGCCCAAAACAACAATAGGGCAAACAATTATTCATTCGTCATACAAGAAAAATGTTTCTTTTTTCTTAAACATACAATGACATTAATCCATTCGAACAAACACTTAACGTGAAAATTTTTTCTTCATTTCGATTATTAATGCAAAAAAAAAAATCGTATGAAACAGTAAACAAAATACAATTTTTTTTTCTAATTCTGCAAAACTTAAAAACTATTATCAGACAACTGGAGCACCCGTTAGTTTTTCACTTTTTTTTCTATTTACAAGCTCTTGGAGCGTAGATTTTGTATTTTTAAAAGAAAAAAAAAATTTAACAGAAAAAAATATGAAATGAATACGAAACGTTTAACAATTTTTTTTGTCCTACACCAAAAGACTACAAGTTATAACTTAATAACTTTACAAAACACAGAATTTGAATTAACGATAAGGCATTGTTTGTGAATTTAATTATATGAACTTAATTAAATTTTTACAGTTACTCTTAATTACGTAACATTATGACTGAGTTCTTAATTTTGGAATATTTTTTTTTACAAGTTTCAGCAAAAACTTAATACCTTCCGGTTGCCTGAAACAAAAGATTTTAATTAATTATTTTTATCTAGATATGTAGAATAAATTTAAATATTAGGAAAAATATTTCATTGATTATATTTTGATAAGGAATTTATACTGAAAAAAAAATTTAATTGATTCAAATAATCGGTTACTTTACTTTTTTCAAATAAATATTTTCTTGGACCAAATAATTTTTATTTAAAGTAAATAAATTTTATTTAAATCAATAATTTCTATATTTGAAAAAATATAATTTTTGAAATAATTACCATTTAATTAAATAATTATTTAATACGAATAAATATTTATTTAATAATAGTTAAGTAACCGTTTATTTGAATTAAATATACATTTTTTTTAGTATATGAATTTTTAGACAATGCAAATTTTAACAACCTACTTAGTTTTAAGAAAAATTTTCATTGATTATATTTTGATAAGGAATTTTCCTAAATTTTTTTATTTGTAATTTTTTATTTGAGCAGAACTTTTGTAGAATTTATATTGCATTGAATTTTTATTTTTATATAAAAATTAGCTTCAACGAAATTTTTATTTAATGGAATTATTTTTAATATTAAACCGAATAAAAATTATTTGATTCGAATAATCGGTTACTTTACTTTTTTCAAATAAATATTTTCTTGGGACAAATAATTTTTATTTGAATTGTATTTGAACCAATAATTTCTGTATTTAAAAAAATTTGAAATAATTACCACTTAATTAAATAATTATTTAATACAAATAAATATTTATTTGCTAACAATTAAGTAACCGTTTGTTTAAATCAAATAAATTATTTTTTCAGTGTATGATTTTTTAAACACTCGAAATTTAAACTTATTAGTTTCGGAAAAAATTTGTTTTTCTAATTTAAAACAAAAATTTGAAAATATTTTTTAAGCAAACTATTGAAATTCTTTGTCAATATTAATTAATACGTACACTTTTTAATTTATCACGACCACCAAAATTCCTGATTGACTCTAATAATTGATCACGTGGATCAATATTGATCGGCATCGATTTTGGTCTTGCATTGGCACTTTTTAAAGTCACTCCAGTAATAATTGGCATTGTCGGTGGTTTTGGTATTCGTGAGTCTGTTTTTGATGAATCAACAATTGGCTCGTTCTGCTTCACCGTTACAGTGCTAACTTGTGATTGTATTTTCGATGGTTGAACATTAAATCCTTTCACAATGGGCATTGGACCATTGATTCTCATTGATGTAACATTATTTTTCGATAATTGCCCATTTTGAAATCGAAAATTATTGTTATTGCCCTGCGAATTTATTCCCACAACTGATGTATATTTTTTAATTGGAATATTTTGCGTACCATTGAATGTAACAATATTGTTTGTCTCTTGATAACCATTTGATTTATTATTACCATTACCATTAACGAGATTATTCACAATCTCAGTATTTCTGCCAAAATATTCCGAATGACGATTTTGATTTATTGATGATTTTGGCTTTGTTCGGAGACGCACCTCTTGACCAAATGTTTTTGTCAATTCTTCGAATTTAATTGATTTTGATTCAATTTCATGATTTATTGTTGTTTCTTTGTCAGATTTTTTTAATTCAACACTTGTTACTGTGGGTTTTGGTTCGGAATCGGCGAAATTGATTTTATTGAGAATTGGTTTTTTAAATCCGGAAATTGTTTTTTTATTGAAGTCATTATCGGATTTTTCTTTTTCTTTGAAACCATTTATATTCTTTGGTAGTGTTCTTGTTTCTTGATTATTTATTAAATCTCTGTCGTTTCGCGTGCCATTGAGATTTACAATTGTTTTCGAACCGGAAGTATTGTTGACACCCAATTTATAGTCAGTGTCCATTTTGATTTGAACATTGACACAGGGCCTTTCGGACCAGCTTCCCAAACTGACTGCAGGTGGTCCAGAGTAGGTGTAACGTTTTTCGGGATTGACTTTTCGATTTTTTGATTCTGATCTTAATTGAACGTCGTTGATTGTTGGGGTAATTTTAGGTTGTTCTTCGGGCACAGTTTCTGATCTGAAAAAAAAGGAATCTTGTTATTGAATTTGTAAATCTTAGAATAGTTTTTTTTTTGATTTTTTAAACTTTTTTTTGATTTTTGTTTATTAAATTTTTGAACTCACCTTTTTGGCTGTGCAGGTTGTTTATCTATGGAATTTTTGCGAACATTTTCTTCCGCCTGTTGAGCGTGTTTCAACTGCGGCAAAATGCTCTTAAGCACCTGTGAAGCAAAAAAAAAATTTCAATTAATTTTTTTTAAAATTTAATTCCGATTTTATGGAAATTAGAAAAATAAGTAATTATTTTAAATACCTGTAGGGACTGTAGCTGTTTTTCTTTGGTTGGCTCCTCTTGCCTTTTCAAAATATTGTCCCTCCATTGTGAAAATTTTTCATTGGTTCGCGTCACTTCTTGATTTAAATTCGTGACACTTGTTGCTTTTTGAATGCAATTTTGCTCGATTTCTTGTTCGAATGTAACATTTTCGTTGTCCTCCTCGTTACCATGACCCTTGTATTTTTCATTACTCGTCAATGTGATATAACTCTTTGATCGGTAGACAGTCACGGGTTTATCGATTTCACTCTTTAATGATTGCCTTCGATTTAAATTGCCCTGTACATTTGTTTTATATTCAGGTCGCCTTAATTCCGAATCGACTCTCTCAATACTTTTTGTCCTGTTAATAAATACCTTTGTTGTAACATCAACAGATTTATGAGGTATTCTGTCTTTTAATTCATTTGACAAACTTTGATTTCGTGTTAGTGTTGTCGTTGTCGTTGTTCTAGGCCTCTCATTTGATGTCTTTACAAGTGGAACACTTTGTTCTTCAATTTCGTCAAAAATATTTAAACTCTTTTGCCTCGAGTATGTTGTGAAAGTAAAGTTTGATAATGTATTATCAACTGGAGCAATATTTGGAGTTGAAACATTTTCGTTGACAATTTTCGTTGGTGGTTGCTGTGATCTGATTTCTATTTTACTTTCTAATTCAGAAATCATTTCCCTCTTTAATTCTAAATTCATTTCAGGTTGGGAAATTTGCCGTGTGGGTTTATTTTCCATTTTTGAATCGAAGTCGGTTTTAATTTTCTCGATTGATTTTGGCTTGATTGAAGAATCTATTTGATCTGTGGAAATTGTTTCATTTACAGATGAAATTTCTTGTTTTGGAAGACACTCGTTTTCAGCGGTAGCAGCAATTGATGATGTCTCAACGTCTCGAAAAGCACTTGGTGGAGCTGGAAGTTGATATTCCCAATCGGGTAATGATAAATCTTCTCCGGATGCTGATACGTAATCTGAAGTGTCTTGTTGTGAATTTACAGTAACATCAGGTGAATTGGAGTCAATAATTGATTTTTCTGAAATATCTTCTTTAATTGAATGCTTTTCTTCTGTGAGGGATTTTATTTTTTCTCCTTTTTTTGATTCGACAATTTTCTCTGGTTTCTTTGATTCTTTTCCTGAGATTTCTAAGTCAATTCGTGACACTTCCAAACTTTCTAAGGGCGTAGGTGGCGGAGTTGGTGGAAGGGCACTTGAAAGTGTATCCGATACTTTTTGTAATAAGATGTCCGTATCCGAAAGTCTAGGTTGCGAATCTGAATCAGAATAAATATTATTCATTTCTATTTCTAACAATAACTATGTATATATATTAGTAATAATTAATAAATGTAGATGACGTATACAAATGAAATGAACTAATTAAAAATTAATAAACATATTCTGTTCATTAAAAATCAATTTAATTTTTTAATGACTATAAAATTCGAAATTATAAATTTTTTAAATTATTCTTGATTTTAGCTAACATAAATAAAAAATAAAACAACTAAATACGTGCAAATATTCTTTTTTTGTGCTTTCATTACAGTGCAATTCTATAAAATTTTAATCAAACCATCACCAAAAATAAATTATATTACAAAAGGACAAACCCATATCTTGAAATCTTTTATCAGACAAATTAAATATTTGTAATGCTTGTGCGTAGGTAACAAACGCGTTCATTTATGAAAAATGATTCACGTTGAAAAACAAATGTAACATAATAATGAATAATAATTTGATTTATTAAAATTGGTAATGAAAAATACTTTACTATAAAAAAAAATGTTATAGTTTTACTTTAATTTACGTAATTTAAAATATTTTTTAATATTACAAACTTGTTGAAACAAAAAATATATAAATATAATTTACGTAAATTAGAGCAAAAAAAAATTTATATATTGTTAGTAAAGCAGCGACATGCACCTGTATTCTGTGAAAGTTGCACTTGCTTCACATCCTCTTTTAACTTCTCCAAAATTCGTTGACAATCCAAATCTTTATCAGAAAATTGAAATCGCAATTCTTCTGTCTTGTGAGTGGAATTATTTTCACCTTCAGTCTTATTGAAATTGTTCGATGTTGGTGATGATAAATCGGTAATATTATTTGAGAAATTTGTGTTGAGTGCACACTTAAAATCTTCAGCGTGTGATGTTAAATGCCTTCCAATTCTCTCGGGTGTATTTATCTCAAAATTACTCAATTCTGACTGACTTCTAAATATTTTTGTACGTTTATGAATCTGTTGCTCGTTATCAAATGATTTCCATGTTTTTCTATTATCATCATCATCATCCAAATCAACGGCATACTTTTCTCTCTCTGTTTTCTCAATTAATCCAGTTTTATCAGTTTGTGATTTGTTTACAGTATCATTATTTGAATAATGATTAGAAATCTCTAAATCTTGGTCGTTTAAATCGATACAATCAAAATGATCACATTTTGGAATTGTTGAGATTATTTTACATGAACGCCTTTTTAAATCACTATCATTGACATGTGTTTCACAATTAACGATTGTTGTTGATTTAATTGTGATTATATTTTTATCTTTTGATTCATAAATATTGTCATCATTTTGGTTTAATAATTCACTTGTTTGATTTTTCTCTAATTCGAGAATATTTATTTTATCTGATTTTTGTTCTTTAATTTCATCACTGGATTCACTATTAATTAGGGAATTTTGTTTTTTTAGTGAATTATTATTTTCTGTATGATCTTGATCGTTTTTCTCATTTTCGAGTAATAGTTCCGTTTCAGTAAGGAGAGAATTATTTAAAACATCATCCAAGCTTTTTATACTGTTAGCGACTGATTGTTCAAATGCAACTAGTTCAGGTGAGTTTGTTTGAGATAAGAAGCGTTGATGTTCTTCTGATAATGGAGAAGTAGGAGCTTTGCGTTTTGGAATTCCGGATAAGACTGGCTCTATGGTGTTCGATTTAATAAGCTTACGTGGCTTGGGTGTTGGACAGTATTCTGCGACTAATTTTATGAAAAAAAACCACCACCAAAAAATAAATTAGAAAATAAAAGTGAAAATTAGTGCTAAGTGCGAAGGGAGTTTTGGTACTCAATAAGCAAACTAAATTTCTAAATTACACTTTGGCAAGCAATGAATAATTTTTTCAAAAAATCATTTCTAAATTTTACAAAATAAGAATTTATCTTAATTTTTTTTTTATATAATTTTTTATACTTTTTTTGTTTATACATAAGTCAATATACTTTGAAATTGAAACGAGTGAATTAAACAAATTCTTCAACTCTATTTTCAAGAATTGAATTTAAATTTAATAGAAATTGATTCCAATTTTTGTTGGACTCTTCTCGACTTACTAAACCAGGTGGAGGTGGTTCTAAAATACTTAATTTTTTTTCCATTTCATTTTTATTATCCGAATAATGATTAATAATTGGAAGTGATGGTAGTTTATCAATTTCATTTGGTATCGAATCCATGGGTCCAATTTGAATGTCTTCGGGTTTTGTGGAAATAGCAAAAATTTGCAATTTACTGAGAGGCGGTGGTGTAAAATCAATTTCACAATCAATTGAATCCAATGAATTGTAATTAAATTCTTTTTCATTTGTTGAAATAATTGGATTTTTATAGCAATCTGTCATTCTATAGGCACCTAATTTTGGAACTAATTCAGATTTTGAATTTAATCGAGAAGAAAAACTTCTTGACAGTAAAAATTGTGGTTGCTCGAAATTAGTGATTTTTGTGTCTTTTAATTTTGAATTTTGAAAACTCATACTGTACTTTAAATTTTTTTTTGAATATTTTTTTTCACTGATATAATTTCCAATAATGGGTTCCAAAATTCGGCATTCGGGCATATTTTCCAAATGACATTCAATGTCGTCTAGATGGGAAATTGTGGGAATTTTCACAAGTTTTTCTCGTGAGAATTTGCCGTCATAAGATTTTAAAATTGATTTTTCATCTGTTATATTAAGTGGTGTTTGAATTCGATTAAAACTCGATGTTCGAGAACAGTTTTTAATTTCTGGATTTAATTTTCCATTGGGATTATTGTTAACGAAACTTTGTGATTTTTGTAATTTTTTGTCGCAATTTATTTTTAAGTTTTGAGAAGAGTCAATTTTGACAATTGGTTTCACAAATCCTACAGCACGATTGGAATCAAAAATTTCTGAACATTTTGGAATTTTATTTTTATTTTGTAAAATTTCGTGTTTGTAACAATAATTTTCGATTTTTGAGTGTAATTTCGATTTTTCTGATTCAAACATACTGTGGGATATGGATGAATGGTGATGTTCAATTTCTTCACTCGGCTCAACTTCAAGTACATTTTCGAATGAATTTCTAGATACAAAACTGTAAGAAGGAAAATTATTGTCTATACTATTGGGTCTGTGAACTAGCTTACCTCTTTTTACTACTTTAACGTTGGCAACTACAGGTTTGTTTGCACTCGTTACTACAGGTTCGGTGTTTAAAACTGGTTTTGAGTGGTTCGCATCCTCTTTAGATGAAGTTTCTGGTTTTTCCTTCGATTCGGCAATCTTCTCTGATGCTTCTCGTGTTGGCCAGTTGTTCTTATCATTGGTTAGTGATTTTGAATTTGAAATAAGTTTTGACAATGTGAAAACACCGATGTCCGAATTGGCTTTACAGTGGACTGCAATGTCTGAATTTGCTTTCGATGATGTTGCAATGTCAGATGATGGTTTTGATAGTTCCATGTCCGATGTTAGGGATTCTTCTGAATCGACAATACATTCGAGGGCTTGGCTTGATATTGCTGATGGTAATTTTGCTATTGGCGGCGGAGGCGCTGCTCTCTTTTTTCTTTGACCTGAAATCGGAAATTTTGAAATTAGATTTTGTAGGTGGAAATTCGAAAGAAAGGAGATTACTTACTTGAATTTGAATCTGTGGGCAGTGCAAAGAAATGTTTGTGCTGATTATGGATCACTATTTTTTAGATGTGATTTTTAAAAATTAGGTTAAAGATTTGTAAAACGTACCAGTAGAACTTAAAGAAGTGGTGCTAATTCCATGACTGAGTCCTCCGGAAGCAAGAGCCAAATTTCCTAAACTTTTACTAGCGTGCGAGGTTTGAGCAAGATTTCTAGGTGTATCTAATGTTTTCCCTCTTCTTGGAAGAGTTTCGGGCATTCTACCAGCTGATTCTGGATGATCACTCAATACTGATGCCTCATGATAACCAGAACTGTCACTACTGTTTCGACTGTGACTAATAACTATTTTTTCTTTTTCACTATTCTCTTCAATGACAGAAGTTGAAACTGGTGGTTTGGGAGCTGGTCTCCTTTTACGAAGTGGTCGTGGCGGTGGTGCCATTGGACTTGAACTTCTTCCAGTCTCGTCACTTCTTGCCGGTGAAACACTACGTTCACCAAGACTATCTGTACTTAAGGAATTTTCCTTTGATTTTTTAAACATAAAACCAAAAACACTTTGCTTTGCCTGCTGTCTTCTTCTCTCCTCTTGTTTTTGAAGTGCCATTATGTCTTGTGAACTGAGAGCTGCACTTATAACTCTTCCTTGTTTCGCGTATAGTGTCACTTCTTGTAGATGATAGTCTTGTAGAGAGAGTGACAGATCTAAAATTTCTTCCAGATTTGCTGCAAAAAAAAAAAAAACGAATTTTAGTTTTTAAATTTCATTAGGATCTCAAATTTTGTGAGATGATTTTCATTCTATTAATAATAATCTAAATCGATTGTCCTCCATTTGAATAAAAACTCAGAAGCAAAGCAAAATTTCAAGAAAATCGGATTTTGTCTCGTACATAATTGATAGGTTTCTGAAGTCTTACAAATGTAACAACTGTATCGTGTGACCGACTCTTAGAAACGAGACCAACTTGTTTTACAGAGAAATGACCACCGGAGATACCGCAGATTAAAAAGGGATAACTGCTCTGATGGAGCAACTAAAAAAAAAATCGATCAGATTAATACTAAAAAATATTTTTTCGAAAATTATTTCCTGCTAATTAGTGGATTTTTTTTTCGTATTTACTACTAAAAAAAAAAGAATTCTAAATTTCATTTCTAATCGCGTGAATTGCAGTTGTGTAATCTATATAGGTATGCAATTCCGTCTTTGAGAGTTGTATTACAGACCTTGTTGCGGAATACAAATGCCGTCACTTGCGAAAGTCATCATCTAAATCCGGTGGTGATTTTACTTGAAACACACCAAATCCGTCTAATATGGGAAAAATTCTTCCCTTTCGAGAGTGAAAGTCTTATTTTCGTATTTTTACTATTTTATTGAAATTGCAATATTTGCAAGAAAGTTGAATATATTTGTCATTAGCGAAATATATTATTTACATACGTGCCTATGAATCAAATATTATATTACCGCGTAATTATTTTTATCGTTATTTCTTAAATTATATTTCTATTTTATAATCCCTATAATTCTATTTTATTACGTTTTTACATAATATTCGAAAGCATTTCAATTTTTCTTCCCTTATAATAAATCTTTATTTTACAAAAAAATAGTATTTATAAATATAATCTGATGATCGAAAATATTTTTTGATTTTTTTTTTTTTTTTAGAAAGTTAATAATTATAAATGCTTGTAAATATAAAAAAAGAGAAAATTAGAATCGGGAAAATGTAACATTAAAATGAGGACTGATTGAGTTAAATAATTTGATAAAAACCCAAGGTGAAATCAAAAGACATGAGTGTATGTCCATGACTTGGGAGACCGCAAATTGGATGATTTCCGATCCGACTCGATCATACATTCGCCACACATTACTTTCGCATTAAAATCCGGATAATGATCTCGAAACTAGTCGCTGCAATTACTCTTTTAAAATGCATATCAAACTCGCCAACGTAATATTGGGGCCAATAAAGTAATCTTAGGGCAATTTTATCCTTTATTTGTCAAGCAATTTTCAATTATATATTTCACTGTATATAAAATAACTTACGCACATATACTTCATTGATAACTACCTATGATTATTAACATTTAATATCAGGAATTAGATGAAAATTATTACTATCTCTATATTTGAAAATTTATAATTATTAGTTGAATATTGATAAAATGTTGAAAAAAATATTTGTAAAATCATTTTATGCGTGTGAAATATTAAGAATCGATTTTAAATTACACTGTGACCACGCCCAATCAAAAATTTACTAATGGCGCAGTACTGGCGCCAGAGTTGGCGTAACTTTGGGATGATAACATTTTACCAGTATTGGCTGCCAGAGTTGGCACCAGTACTGGTAACCACTACTGGTTCAGTACTGGCTGAGTACTGGTAGTTTTGTAATTTATTGTATACGAAAAAAAAAGCTTTAACTGCAACAGAGATAAGTTTCACTGCATTAGTGAAATCTCTGCTCCAGGCAATATACTTTTTTTTAGGAAAATGTGTGAAATTTTTAGTAACCCAACACAAATTAAATATTAATTGAATTAGTCAACTAACTAATTAATATTTTATTATATATAAAATCGAAAACACAAAGAATTTTTATTCTTTATTAAGTCTAATATATATTGCAAATTTTTATTTTAAAAAATCAAAAAATAAATATAAAAATATGTTTATTATAAAACCAAAGTTTTTATAATATATAAAAACAGTTCAGTAAAAATAAAAATGTTTATAAAATAATTATAATGTATATAATTATACAATTAGCTATTTAATTATTTTATTATTCACTTTAATTATTTGCATAAAATTAATTTTTGAAAAACTTTTTTAAGAAAATAAAAGTTGTTTTTTGATTTTTAACAAGTGTTGTCAAGAAAATTTTTTAAAATTTTAATTTAAAAAAATATAAATTTTTTATAAACAAATTTATTTATTTTTAGTTTGATCGTTTAAACAATTTTTTGGTTTATTTTATATCTGAAAACAAAAAAACTTGCAAAATGTTTTGCAATTAGTCTCAGGAAACTTTTTGTTTAAATAATTTTACCCACAAAAAAGCAAAATAAAATACCTTTTAATTTTTAAAAATAAAATCAAAGTGAAAAAATTTTTATAAACAAAATATTTAAACAAAAAGATTTATCAGGTTCACTCTAGAACTTTTTGTAAACTAGTATTAATCAAAAAGAAAATCTATTTGAGCCAGTACTGGCCCAATATTTGCTCAGTTGTGGTTTGTCAGTAATGGGAGGGTGGTACTGCACCAGTACTGATACAATGAAAATACCAGTACTGGTTCAGTACAGACTAACCAGCCTCGGCAGCCAATACTGAACCAGTACTGCGCCAGTAGTTAACTTTGGTATAATACTGAAATTTTTGGTTGGGCGGTTTAGTTTACAAAACTTGTTTAGCAAATCAATCCACCAAATCGGGATTCTACTGTATTTACTACTTTAAATTTACTTTAAATTATTTTAAATTTCATAAAAGTATACAAACTTTTAATTTTACTGTACATTTTTATTAGAAAGTAAATTTATTTTCCTTTACTTTAAATTTCATAAAAGTATTACAATACTTTCAGTTTAATAATAAAGTGGTTGAATATAATGAAGAAAACTATTAATTATCTAGTTAATAATAATAATAATAATAATAATAATTGTCTTTCGGTGGAAAAGAGATAAAAGCATGAGAGAACGATAAATCATTATTTTTTATTATTTTTATTTATTCGTAAAAGAATAATTGAAGACTGTATGTATATGTGATTTCACACGCAATAATCAACAGTTAAACGAATCATTAGTTTTGGTTTTTTTTTTTTCAATACTCACCAGGATGACGAAGCTCGTACTTCTTAATGTCTAGATTTTTCTCGCGGCACACTTCCTCGAGAATATCTCCTAAGTTCATTTTTGGACTCACTCTTGAAACGTACAATTGATTTCTTGGTAGATGAACCTAAAAAATTATTATTATCATTATTATTACTATTTATAGTAATTTAATGTATTTATAAATTTTTGGAATCAGAATTATAATAATATAATTATTTATAGTTAGTTCATATAAATTATTTATCACAGCAACTACATTGAAAAAAAATTTATTTGATTCAAATAATTGGTTACTTGACTATTATCAAATATAAATTTTATTTGAACCAAATAATTTTTATTTGAACAATTTCTGTATTTAAAACAAATACAATTTAATTGACTTGACTCAAATAATAATTATTCAATACAAATAAATATTTATTTGATAATAGTCAAGTAAGTGATTCTTTGAATCAAATACATTTTTTTCTATGTAAGGGATTTTTAATTTTTTAAATAATAAAGTTTGAAAAAAAGGCATTGAAATTAAATAAGGATATTAATGAAATATCGATATAGTATTTTCATTTAATAGCAATATTTTAGTTAACATGAAAAAAAAATACGGAAAAGAAATTCGAACAAAAATTTTATTTATGGTTATAAAAGTTGAAATGTTTTCGATTGAGAAACAATTTAAGAGACAGCATAATTTTTTGATTTGTCATTAAAGCAATAAAAGTCGACAAAAAAAACGGCAATCAGTGATCAAATTGCATAAGTAGTATATAACGATTGAAGAGAATGAAAAAAATAGTAATAATTAATAAAATAGAAGGATCAGCGCGGTTAATGAAATCATGACGCAAAAGAAACGTAATCGTTTATTGATATTTTTTCAAACAAATTATTATGTGAGATTTTTTTTTTATATATTTTTTTGGTTAAATTAAATGAAGTATTTTTTTGCTGAGTAAAAATAATGTGAATTGAGTGTAGTTGGTTTTTTTTTGTAAGTCATCTCTCACCTGTAATCGAAAAGTTGTTTCAAATGGTTGGTTGGCTTGCCTCGTTTTACGGGATAAGAATGTTCCTTGCTTGGGAAGTAATTTAACCTGCGGATGAAAAGAAAGTGTCAATATTCGTGTTTTCAAATTGTCAAGTCACCCTCTCTTTTGAGTAATTTTCGCAGTCGTTTTACTGACCACTAACAATCGCGAGTATTTTTTCTTTTTCTTTTTTCATTCACTCATTCATTCTTTCATTCTCCTTTTTTCAAAACGGAGATTGTAGATATACAACTGTGCGCGACTGATGATAATGATGACAACTTTAATGACAGGAAAACGACTTTGAGAGATTCATCAGTGCATGGCAATTTTAATATCATCTTTGCTTATAGAACAGGAAGCTGAGAATCGATTCAGCAGAAGCTTTATATTTGACTTTTTATTGCAATTGAGAAAATTATTAGTTCTAGTCCTTTAATTTTACAAGTCACTGGCTTTTCAAGAACATTTATTTATGTATAGGAAAAATTGTTGTTTTAAGATTTTTTTATTTTAAAAATATTTTATTTGTTAATATTTTCAAACTTTATTTATTTTTGAAAGTTTTTTTTTTAAACGAAAAAGAACGTCTTAATAGTTTTTGACACATATAAAATTTAACATAATTTCTATTTTCTAGCTATACTGAAAAAAATGTTTTATTCAAATAATCGGTTACTTGATTAATTATCAAATAAATGTTTACTTGAACCAAATAATTTTTATTTCAATTAAGTAAATTGTATTTAAATCAATAATTTCTGTATTTGAGGCAAGTACAATTTTATTGAAATAATTACCATTTAATTAAATAATAATTACTTAATATAAATAAATAATTATTTAATACAAATAAATGATTATTTGATAATAATCAAGCAATTCTAGTTATTCTAGTTATTTCTGGTATCAAAATTGTAGTTATTTTAGTTATTTCTAGTATAAAAATTCTAGTTACTTTAGTTATTTCTAGTAACAGAATTCTAGTTATTCTAGTTATTTCTGGTACCAAAATTTTAGTTATTTTAGTTATTTCTAGAGCCAGAATTCTAGTTATTCTAGTTATTTCTGGTATCAAAATTGTAGTTATTTTAGTTATTTCTGGTGCCAGAATTCTATTTATTCCTAGTTTTAGAATTCTAGTTATCTCTGGTACCGAAATTTTAGTTATTTTAGTTATTTCTAGCGCCGTAATTCTAGTTATTTCTAGGGCCAGAATTCTAGTTATTTCTGGTACCAAAATTCTAGTTATTTTAGTTATATTTCTAGTGCCAGAATTCTAGTTATTTCTAGTACAAAAAGTTTAGTTATTTTAGTTATTTTTGGTACCAGAATTCTAGTTGTTTTAGTAATTTCTAGTACCAGAATTCTAGTTGTTTCAGTTATTTCTAGTACCACAACAATTCTAGTTATTTCTAGTTATTTTAGTTATTTTTCCCACTTGGAAAGATTCCCCGGAAAGTGCCCCCTGGAGGTTCTATCAGAATTTCGCCGGAACTTCCAACGGAGTTCCAAAGAATTTCCGATGGGATTCCGACGGAATTACATTGGAAGTTCCGGTGGAATTCTGATAGAACCTCCAGGGGGCACTTTCCGGGGAATCTTTCCAAGTTGGCTAGTACCAAAATATTTCTATTTGTTCTAGTACTAATTGAATACATTTTAATTGAAATAATTACCATTTAATTAAATAATAATTATTTAATACAAATAAATAATTATTTAAATAATAAAAATGATGATATCGATCAAGTAACCGATTATTTGAATCAAATAAATTTATTTTTCAGTGTACGTTGGCATATCTGTTAAATTGTTATTTAGTTTTGTATATTCATTGATAAATACTTTGTACCAAAGGGCATTGAGCCCGTAAATTTAATTAATAAATAAAATAATAAATATGGAAATTCATTCATAAATCGAGAATTGAATAAATTTTGTTTGTATATTTAAAATTAAGAAATTGTTTCTAAAATTAATGGTTCTTATATGAATATATATAATTTGACTCGCTGTTTCTCTATAACATTCATAAAAGAAGAAAGTATAAATTTATATAATTGATTGAAAATCATATATTCTATATAGTTATTTGTACAATATTTTATTATTTCATTAACTTTCTCATGATTTGGAAAATATGTTTTCTGCTTTTATTTTCACATTAAATTTTCTTGTAAAGTTGCGCATCCGTTGAATCGATTTTCTTGCTCGATTATAAGATAGAAGCGGGGATATGATGAATAGAAAATTTCTGAGGAAAAGAAAGAAATCGTGATTCTTGGTAAAGAGGATTTCCTAGTTGTTAACAATATATTTTACCTGAAGTGCATCAAGTGCTCCAATTGGTGTGTTAGGTTGATGAGGTAGAACCATACCCCGTTCGCCAATAGCTTGAAGGGTGTAACTGGAAGCAACCAATTTGTGAGCCGTTGCCACTTGTACAAGAAGGTCCATCATTGGTGTACTAGAGAGAAAAAAGATTAAAAAATTTATTGATCATTTTCATCGAAATGCAACCTAGTTATTTTATTAATAATATTTGTTGTTATTTCTGTTTTTTTTGTTGTTTACAAAACAAGTACAAATTTCAGTATATAAAATAATATAATTTGATGTAAATTCGGGTTAATTTTGTCTCTATATATGTATATTAATTTTTAATTCGAGACTAAAATTGTCCTCTTTCGTCACTAATTAAATTCAAAATGTCATATAAAATAATGACGTGACAATTATAATGTTTGCTTTGTTAATTATATGGCATTTTAAAAATAATTGGCTCCTAATTTAGTAAAAAGGTTTCAAGAAGAGGCACTTAAAAGATAATTTATTGTTTTTAGTATTTTATGATAGAAAACCTTAATTTTATTTATCTTTTTTAATTATTTCAAATTTCCTCAGAATTATGACGTTTTTTTTTAATTTAAAAATATAATAGAAAATTAGAGAACTAATTTTCTAAATTAGTTCAAATTTTTATTTAACAGATTACGAAATACAGTAATTACTATTTTTTTTTTGTTTTGCGTAAGATACCTAAATTTGTGGTCGTTGAAAATTGATCTTTAATTGTTTTAGTGTTAATATTTGTTCCTGGTTCTTTTTTTTTTTGTCATTTACGAATTTTTTCGTAACATTTATTAATTTTTTTTTTGTTGGTGAAATGTTTTCACCGTCAATTTGAGACGTAACCGTTAGACAAATGGAGCGTTTCACATCTTAAGTGAGAATTTGATTTATTTTCTTGATTCCTACTTTGTGAAATGTTTCTCGTTTGCTATGGACAATGTGGTCCGCTTAACGGTAGTATGCCGCATGATGGTTTATGGCAAAAAACGCCAATACCTTCCGCATAATTTGTTTCGATTTAGATAGAAAAATTTCTTCGTTTCTTCATTTTTGTCGCATGATAATAAAATTCGTTCTACTTTTACTTGAATTACATGGGTAAAAATGAATATTCTAATAGATTCTTCAAATATATATTTATAATAAATGTAATTTTCTTGTCAAATTAATAGCATGGACGTGTAACAAAAATTGATATTTAGAAAATTAATAATTAGTTTTCATGATGTTAAAAAAAAAAAAAAGTGGAAATGAAACATTTTCTGATATACTTTCAAAGGAAAGAGCTCGTTTGTGTGAAAGTCTTAAAAGTACGAAAAAATACATTAAAAGAAATGATTTAAGGTGAAAAAGATGTTCGTTTTGCGCTCGATTAAATTTCTCGTGTCCAGTACAAAGTAGAAAGTAATCTAATCCAAAGAATACGCAGTTTGAAGTTAATAATAATAAATTGTATACAGTGGTATCATTTTAGGCTAATTTCTTAAACGCGTTTAATTTTCCTTTTGTTCTTGAAGGCGCGAGCGCGCGCAAAAGGGGGAAAAAAGCGAAAGTACAAAATAATGAAGAGCATATTTTGTTAAACGGCACTGACAGTACAATTTTCTTTTACTGTAATCATTATTTATAATATACAAACCAGAGTGAAACACATACAATTCGTTGTTAAAATAATTAGGAAAAATTACCTGTCAGAAGTTTTTACAACAATAGTGTTTTTGTTTCTCTTCTCGTGCTACTCATAATGTGATTTTATTATTTTTGTATACTAACTAGAGTCGTTAAAATATCCTTTGTTTAGAGTATATAAAGATTTTAAATATATGAATTTAAATGGAAATTAAAAATTAATTTATGGTAATATAAGCGTTATGTAACTAAAAGGAAATGTGATATGGCGTAAATGAATATATATATATATATATATATATATAATATTTATAAACCATAATCTATAATATAAATAGAGTTGGTTTAAGAAAAGGCGTTTTTTTGGAATGGAGATCTGGTTTTATTGCTTAGTAGGACGAAGTACTGATATCAAGTGCAGCGAACCGTGGTCAAGGGATTACGTAAAAGGGAATCGACAGGTTGTGTATGCTCCGATGATCGTACACAGGTTATATTGGAATTAATTGTTCTCATTTCTTTGAACGCGTCAAAACCACATGCGGGAGAGAACATGAAATACAAAATAATACTGCGTTTCACCTGTTTAGGAGAAAAAAAAAATTCTCTAAAAACAAATCCTCATTTATTTCTTAAAATTCTGAGAAGCATTTTGTTTGGGTTTGTTTAATTTGGATATACGTTGTTTTCTGCTTGTTATGAAAAAAAATTCTATTTTGTAAAATTTCTCATTTACGAAAAGTTCAATCATTTTAGTTTCTTATTTGCAAGAAATATTCTTAGACAGTTTTTCAAAATTGACTAACCTTCTTTGAACTGTGACTCTTTGCGTTTGAACATTGTGATCTCTTGGCAGTTGGACCAGAAGCTCCATGCTTCCAGCCAACATATCTGCCGGAGTGTCCTCTGTCACGGTTAGAACCATGGCAGGTCTCTCCTCTCGACCCCTGAAACAAAAGAAAAAATTGTCTTAAAAAATTTGTTTTTTAAAATCATTTATGGAAATTTCTTATTAAATTAACCAGATTTTCTATTTCTAAGTGGAAACAGTAGTAAGGATATATTTAACATTTCATTCTAGTTACTTCTAGTATCGAAATTTTGGTCATTTGTACTAGAAATCTACTTATTTCAGTTATTTCTAGTACCAGAATTTGAATTATTCGAGTTATTTCTAGTATCAAAACTTTAGTTATTTCTAGTGCCGAAATTCTAGTTATTTTAGTTATTTCTAGAGCCAGAATTCTAGATCTTCTAGTTATTTCTGGTATCAAAATTGTAGTTATTTTAGTTATTTCTGGTGCCAGAATGCTATTTATTCCTAGTTTTAGAATTCTCGTTCTCTCTGGTACCGAAATTCTAGTTATTTTAATTATTTCTAGTGCCGAAATTCTAGTAATTTCGAGGGCCAGAATTTTAGTTATTTCTGGTATCAAAATTGTAGTTATTTTAGTTATTTCTAGGACCAGAATTCTAGTTATTCTAGTTATTTTTGGTATAAAAATTAAAGTTATTATAGTTATTTCTAGTGATAGAATTCTAGTTATTTCTGGTATCAAAATTGTAGTTATTTTAGTTATTTCTAGTGCCAGAATTCTATTTATTCCTAGTTTTAGAATTCTAGTTACCTCTGGTATCGAAATTCTAGTTATTTTAGTTATTTCTGTCGCCGTAATTCTAGTTATTTCTAGAGTCAGAATTCTAGTTATTTCTGGTATCAAAATTGTAGTTATTTTAGTTATTTCTAGGATCAGAATTTTAGTTATTCTAATTATTTTTGGTATAAAAATTGAAGTTATTATAGTTATTTCTAGTGATAGAATTCTAGTTATTTCTGGTATCAAAATTGTAGTTATTTTAGTTATTTCTGGTGCCAGAATTCTATTTATTCCTAGTTTTAGAATTCTAGTTATCTCTGGTACCGAAATTCTAGTTATTTTAGTTATTTCTATTGCCGTAATTCTAGTTATTTCTAGGGTCGGAATTCTAGTTATTTCTGGTATCAAAATTGTAGTTATTTCTAGGACCAGAATTCTAGTTATTCTAGTTGTTTTTGGTATTAAAATTGAAGTTATTATAGTTCTTTCTAGTGATAGAATTCTAGTTATTCTAGTTATTTCTAGTGCTGGAATTCTATTTATTTCTAGGAACAGAATTCTAGTTATTTCTGGTATCAAAATTATAATTATTTTAGTTATTTCTAGTGTCAGAATTCTAGTTATTCTAGTTATTTCTAGTCCCAAAATTCTAGTTATTCTAACAAGACATTTTTTTCACTTCAGTTATTAATGAATGACAACTTTTATCAACAATTTTTTTCTCTGATAATTTTCTTTTTCTACTGGTTAGCATGCATAATCTGAGAATTTCGTTTTATCGAAAAAATGTTATATTAACATATCGTGTATGTGTAATTTTTTTTTTTTTTGGTCAAGTTTTTCTTTTTTATTTTTTTGGTCAACGCATATTTCATAGATATTCCAAACAGATACATGCTCAAAATAATTGAAGTGATCCAAACACTTATTTGATTACTGTCGCAACGGTGACATTGGCAAGGATTGCCTGTCTTCATGTCACGTATATAACTTCAATGTCAACTGTTATCGTTGATATACAAAACTTGAATTTTAATGTGAAAAACCGGTTCGATGAGTATGGTCGTCTTCAATATATTTATGTACATATACGAGAGACTTTGGTCGAAAAATATTTTTTATAAGGTTGATAAGTTTCAAGATAAGGTTAACTAAAGAAACAAGTCCATTGGGATTAGAAATTTCTCGCTCTCTGTTTACCATCTTTACTCCCATGAGATTTCTTAAGCATTAATTAATGCACACATTTTATTGCATTGATCAACTTTCCACCTTGTTTTCATTTTTTTGTCTTGCTTTGCTTTTTTCAATATACTTATTGCATATTGAGAAAAACCTGTTAATTACCTCATGGAATAATAAATAAATAATTGAAAGAAAGATACATTTAAATGGCAATTTTAACCTTCTCTTTCAACTTTATAAGGATGCGTTTGATATATAATTATATAGTATTTCTAGGATTATTTGAAATTATCTATGCGAATGAATGGGACAGTTGATATCAATTTTTATAGGTGTCAATAGAGACATGGAAAGTTATTGTGAAAAAAAAATAATTGGATATTATTTTTTTATAGATACATTCTGTATGTGTAAGAAAAAAGCGTAGGTTCTTTATGGAAAATAAGTGTACTACCTTCAGTAAATGAAAATATTTAAGAAATTAATTAAATTTTACTAATTCAGAATCAAAAAGTTAATTAGCTAATTAATTAAATTTAACAAATTCAAATTAGTTATTTCTACTAATTCAGATTTAGAATGCTTATGGAAATTTCTTATATATTTTCTTTATTTTGTTTATATCGATTTAGATTATTAAAAATATAATTTTTTAAAATAGATATTTGGCATAAAATTGTACTTCAAAAAAAATATTAAATTAAATATTCTATTTTATGTACTAGCTTTTTAATGATAGAGTTCGAAGTAGAAAAGAAAATCTCGGTAAAAATATTTACACTCCAGGTCGTTTATATTAATTGTTACTCAATTGACAAGAGAAAAGGAACACATTGCAATTGGCACTACAATGGACTTGTAGTGTTAATTGTAATGTAAGCCAAACGGACGTTAGAAATAAAATTCAATTGAACTTTTTTTTTTGTTTAAGTAAAAATTTTATTTGTACTGAATACAATTTTATTTGCACTAAATAAAATTTTATTTGTACTAAATTACACTAAAAAAAGGGTTTGATATTGACAACCAAACGTTTGGTTGGTATTTAAGTAACCAAATTTTTTTAATTGAATCAACAAAATTTTGGTTGTCTCAATAAAACTTTAGTTAGGACAACAAAAATCCTTTTTTTTATAATTTTGGTTGTGTCAAACAAATTTTGATTGAGACAATTAAAATTTTGTTGATTGAACAAAAAAAATTTGTTTGCTTAAATACTAACCAAACGTTTGGTTGTCAATACCAAACCCTTTTTTCAGTGTAAATTTTTGATTTCAAAGAAAAAATTATTAGGCTCTGTGACAAATAAATTTTTATCTAATTTAAATAAATTTTATTTGTCTCAAAATAAAAAATATTTTTTCGTAGTTTTGAATTAAAATTTTCAAGTATAATAATCATTGAAGTTAAGGAAACATTTCAATATGAAAATAATAAAAATCTATTTCAATAGAAAATAGATAATATTGTTGCTCAATTGGAATCTTATTCGAACTCTCATCATGATCAATATTCTATAAAAATGTATGACTTTCATGCGAAAGTGAAATAACCGGGTATCAGATTCGCTTCAATTTATATGCAAATGCCGTTATAGTTATCAAGTTGCAACTATATAACTAAAGTTCATTAATGAAAATGAAAGAGTCTCATTAATCATTGGCACACTAATTGCCGATTCAGAATATATATATATATATATATATATATATGTGCGGTAAAATTTTATATTTTAGTTGAGCAATATAGATTATTTATTGGCATCTTATGTTTCATCGATAATTTAGAATACAAAAGACTCATTTTCAACTTAATTTTGGTTCGCAATAATGCTGTAGAACAGATCAATTATATTCTCAATTTTTACAATGTTGCGTTTATAATTTTATGTTATAATAAATGGACAATCAACCTTGATTTATATATTAATATATTTCTATATATTTTGTATATAATTTTGCATTTTTTAAATAATAAAGAAGGGCAAAAATTTTTTTCTTTTGTCTTGACTCAATTTTCTTTTGTAATTTTCCATTTGTATAAAATCTGTTTGTGCCAATGAGATCAGAATATTATAATTTTATACATTGTTAAAAATTTCTTTATATCAATTTGCATTTATAGTGTTGTGAAACGATTAAACCAAAACGACACTCCTATTTTCTGTGAATGTGTGTGTGCTTTTGCAAACACATCGTTATTATTTCCATTGTTGTACTCTCTGTCTCTCTTTGCCTATTTTGATTTTTATTTCATTTCTCTTTCTCCCCCACGTGTACCATTGTTTCAGGACTATATGCGGTATATACCGCATTGTTCCGCGCCATCCCTTTATTTATGGGACAGCATGTGAGATACAGTTTGTTTGAAAAAAAAAAAAAAATTCAACTTTTGGTTATACGGAAGATGAAAATCATGTTTCTTGTTATCTAAGCAAAGAATTTGTACATAATTTTTTTTTTTATTTTCTGCGCCAACATTTCTTGACAATAAATATAATGTTAAGGTGTATTTCATATTTTATTAACGTGTCATTATTTTCTCTCGTAAAATAATTGGAAATGTGAGAATCCTTTAATGTTTATAATTTTAAAAGTCTGTAATTGTATACTTTTACGATCGAAGCGAATACCATATATACAATGGGGTGATTGTGAATGGACTATAGGGTTTGGGATTGTATAAAGAAAATGTGATGTCATCGCTCGATTTCGTAAGACAAAGTTTGTATACGCTTCGAGACTTTTTCAATTGAGCCCGCATTTGTACACACGCAAGTTTTGCTTATTGAGCATTAAAAAAAAACTGCTTTATATCCACTTTCAAGCAAAGGGAATTTAGAAAATTTATTCTTTTTTTTTTATAATTAAAATATTCATCGGTGTTTTGTTCCAATAAATAAATTTTGGGACAGAAAAATATACAATAAAAATAAAATTATTTAGTACTGGTACCGCGATTTCAAAACGTTAAATATTTTCTTGTCGAAAAAAAATTTTTTATCACGAAAAACCCGTATATTTCTGGAAGCAGTCACGATTAAATGCAAATTTTCCTCGACTTGGTAGTTTTCAATTTTAATGTTCTAAAATTTATATAGAAGCGATTCTTTCAGAATTTTCTCGTGTAAATTGTGTCTTTTTTGCGTGTGCATGAGAAATGAA